TCAGGATTCAATGACTTTTTTTCCCGCTAGAGATATGAGGTACACAATTTGGGAGTCTTTTAGATAGACTCATTGAAGGGGTACTCCAATTGCCTCACCCTGCGTTCCTGTTCAGCACAGAAGAAGCCAGAATGGTCTGCGTCCCTATTCCCTATTAGCAATTTGGGTAACCCCTTCAGAGGATGGCGTGATAAGATTAGGAGGTAGGAACTGGCTAGGAAGTTAGGGTAAAAAGACCCCAAAGAAATGTAGCCAGTTTCTTGGCTAAAAGTCAAAATGTCCTTGGGTCTGTTAGCAACATACTCTGTTCCAAGGCCAAAAATGTCAAAAGCATTTGGGAGCTTGTATCTAATCCTTAAAAGATTATAGGGTTACCTCTTCAGAGGGGGGAATGTTAGAGTAGCCAAATGGACTATAAAGAAAGAAAAACAAAAGAAAGAATATATGAAGTTATCAAAAAAAGTGATGGGGAGATATGGGAGGAGTTGGAGGGGAAGAAGTGGGCATGGATTTGATCAAAACACCTTATATGCATAAACATTACAAAGAAGAACAGAAATAATTCCCAGCAATAGCAAATTTCTTAATTTAGAAAAAGTTCCCCTTTTTTGGCTTTTTCAGATTCCACCTGGCCTGGAACTTGGTTATCTGGCCTCAATCTCAGAGATCCGCCTGCCTCTGCCTCCCCAGTGATGGCATTAAAGGTGTGTGCTTTCTTTTTTTTAATAAAATTTTTTTATTTAATAACCACATGATTAGAAGAAGCATTTCATTACATATTAACATATTCAATAACAATTTCCAGAGCAAAGATACATCTCTTTCAAAAGTAGCTGTAAATTTTTAGGTTCACAGTTTAATTAAAACAGTTATACAATATTGAACTCAGTATAAACCCAGTAGGACATAAAATTGAATGAATTTTTAATCTTTTTTATTTAAAAAAATTTTTTTTGTCTTTTTTGAGACAGGGTCTCCCTGTAGCCCCAGCTGTCCTGGAACTCACTGTGTAGACCAGGCTGGCCTTGAACTCACAGAGATCCGCCTGCCTCTGCCTCCCCAGTGATGGCATTAAAGGTGTGTGCTACCACACCTGGCCAAAAATTTTTTTATTTAATAACCACATGATTAGAAGAAGCATTTCATTATAGCTTTAAAATATTCAGTAACAACTTCCAGAGCAAGGATATACCCACCAAAAGTGGGTGTAAATTTTTAGGTTCACAGTTGAATTAATACAGCTATACAATACTGAACTCAGTATAAACCCTGTAAGACATAATATTGAATGAGTTTTTACCCCTTAAAGAAGATCTCCATTTCATTTTAAAATATGCTGTTTCCTACATTTTTTTTGACATTTCTGCTTAATGAAATCTAGGACACTTTATTTGTGAGGATAACCAATTTTCTTTCTTTCTCTGAAAATGATATTCTCCTATTTTTTTAATTTGTGGAATGCATTTTTCTTTACTTCCACTTGTCATTTATTTATAAAGTCTTTAATATTATATTTAGTACTGGGTCTGGAGAAATGGCTAAGTGGTTAGGAGTACTGACTATTTTTCCAGAGGGCCTGGGTTTCATTCCCAGCATCCACATGGCAGCTAACAATCATCTGTAACTCCAGTTCCAGGGGCTGTGAAACCCTCTCTTGGCCTCTGAGGGCATTCCATGACACAGGTACACTTACATTCAGGCAATATACTCATTCATATACAAAAATAAAAATAATAAAAAAGAGTTGAAAACATAGTACAATAATTTTTAAAAACAAACAATCATAAAGAACACATAAATTAATTTGGTATTGTGTTTCAATAAATCCTTCTCTAAGGGAGGAAACGTATGTCTGCTACTATGAATCTAGCCAAGAACCCATGGTTCAGGAGCTCACAGGCCCAGAAGTGAACCTACTAATATTTGCCAAATGGGAATAATATCAAACTTTCCTCTAAATTCTTATCTCTGTACTCCCATCCAAGTACTAACCAGACCCAACCCTGCTTAGCTTCCAAGATCAGATGAGATTGGGTGGTATGGCCATAGACTTTATCTCTGTACTCATAGATGACTACAGGTCTCAGACCTCATCAGAGAAGTTTCTTTGTACAGTGAACAGTGGTAAATGTAGAAACTCAAAACCTGTCAAAGTACAGAATAAGTGTCTGTGGAGTGCTTGGCCATAAGTGAGACCTCTGTATCATACTGCCTTATCCCCCAAGGCTCAGAGAACATAGTGAAAGAGGGGAGGAAAGATTCTAAGAGTCAGAAGTAGGGCAAGACAGGGTGAAGCAGTGTCTTCTGGACATGACAGGACCACAGCCCTCATGAACTCATAGCAGCTGTTGATTGCCTGCTAAAGACCTGTACAACATCATGTTAATCAACATTCCAGTATGGAGAGGGGAGGGTTCTCGAGCCCCAACCCCTACCTGAGGAGCTGCTGACAACTAATGGCTACTTGAATAGTCAGTTTTCTTTAAGGGTGTGGCCTGGGGTGGTCAACCATGCTCTAGTGCATAGCCTCACACTCAGGAGTACAAACTGGAATCAGTGGGCTATAGAAAAAATGACATGAAGTTGGGAGGGGTGGAGAGTGGGAGTAGATATAGAAGGAGTTAGGGAGGGGAAGTCAAAAGAAATTCATAGAAATTTGTTTTGGACACAGGGTTTCCCTGTAGCCACAGCTGGCCTGGAACTCACTATGTAAAACAGTCTGGGCTCAATCTCACAGAGGTATTAAAAGCATGAGCCACCATGCTCACTGTTAATCCATAAAAAATTTTAACCACTTTAAGATTTCATCTTACCCCAGTCAGACTGGCTAATATCAAGTGAACAAATGATACCAGATGCTGTAGAGGATGTGGGGAAGGAGAAACACTCATTCACTGCTGGTAGGATTGCAAACTCGTGCAACCACTACGGAAAACAGTGTGGAAAACCTACCATATGATCCAGTTATACCACTCTTTGGCATATACCCACAGGACTCATTCTATTGCAGAGAAACTTTTATGTCCATGTTTGTTGTGGCTTTTTTCACAGTAGCTAACAAATGGAAGTGTCCCTCAACCTACAAGTGGATAATGAAAATATGGTACATTTCTTACCAGTGGTAAAGAAAGACGAAATCATAACATTTTCAAGTAAATGGATGGAACTAGAAACTGTTACTCTAAGTGAAGTAACACAGACTCAAATGATGTATGTTATGCCTCATTTGTGGATCTTGGCACCAAAATAGTGAGTATATATCCTGATGTAAGTGCAGGAGCCAAGAAAATGGAAAGAAACCCTAAACAAGGCGCCTGCGAGAGATGAACAGTAGGAGACAGGTGTTGCCAAGGGGGAAATGGGTAGAATGGGAATATTTAACTGGGAGGGGGAAAGGGAGGGTTATACAAGGAACTATGGGGATGAGGAGAAGAAGGAGCTGGGAGCGGGGGAACCATAGGAGACAGGTATTATCAGAGGTGAAATGGGCACTTTAAATGTGGAGGAAAAAGAGAAGAAGATTAGACAGGGTCAGAGAGAGGAGAGATAAATAATGCTTAACTAGTATGAAAAACCAGAGGGAAATGTATTAGCTCAAAAGCTTACTGAAAAATTACACATACAATATCTCTACACGAATCTACATGCATAGCTGAAGGCTATAGAACAAGAAACGGTGCCAGACAGGAGAAACCTCCTTATGCGTTGTTGGTCAGAGCAGTCCAAGAGATTCCCAAAATTACACAGGCTATTGCCACAGCCCTTAATTGCCCCCAGAGCCTGAAGGTAAGACCCTACTGCTGAAGACAGGACATATTTCAGACATAGGATTTGGAACAACAGAGCTTAAACTGATCTGGAAGCCACCTCCCTGAAGGTCAGCTCTCATAGTTTTGGAGGACACTATGCAAACTGCTAAGGGAGAACATCAATCGATGGTCCAACCCCATTTGAAAGCCTAATAACTACAACAATGATGGGCACAGCAAACTATATTGGTGCAGTAGCAGCACTTTTAGCCATACACATGGCTGGAGAGATCATAGATCTTACAGAAAACCCTAATGCTATCATATTCCTGGACAAATGTAATTTCTTACTATATGCTAAATATGAATCCTTATATTTACAGACAAGTATGCCAGTCACCAATCATCAAAGAAGCTTCTTTTACAACAGAGATTATGAGTTCCACAATGGGTCAGACAGAGAGAATAATTATCTGTGAGATGCCCGACCCTAAGTGATACATCTACAATGGAACCTCTATACCTAAGGCTCATGGAACATAGTGGAACAAGGGGTAGAAAGAATACTAATGCATCTCTCAACTCTCATCAATGAAGCTCCCTAATGCAACAGAGGGCAATAAGCACAAAAGGCCACAAATGGTCAAAGTGTAGCAAATAAGAGTCTGAAGAGTGCGGGTCCTTGGACAGGACTCCTATATTAAACTTCACCCACTCAGGGCTCAGGGACCATTGCAAAAGAGGGGATGGAAAAATTGCAAGAGCTAGGGGAGGAAGTGCATGACCATATAGAAAACAGAGTCTTACAGGCTCCTGGGACCTTGCTCATATGAACCTACAGCAATAGTGTCAGCATGTACAAGACCATGTAAACGCAATCAGACAAATGCTCAACATAGAACTGGGAAATGGGCAGCAGATCCCAACCTTACCAGAAGAACTATTGGTATCTGATTACAGCCAGGTGAGGGAAAGTTGATATTCTTTAAGGAAGAACTCTAAATAGGTTGACTAGACCCTAGTGGATGAACTTGTACTGAGGGATGTCTGGGTACACTAACTTGCTCGATAGGCTTTGACATAAATGACAGAATGTATGAAATCCAATGGGGAGGTTATAGGGGAGTATAAATGGGGGAGGAGGTAAAAAGGTGATTAAGATGTTTTGTATGAAATGCACAAAAATCCCACAAAAATATGGCTAAGCAATTCAGAAGCCTGAAACCAAAAAAAAAAAAAAAATCATGATAGTTCATACTGACATTCTCTAAGAGACAAAAGTTAACTAAAAAAAGTAAGGTCAAATAACAGTATGCTTTAAAATAATAGTAATAGCAACCTCTTTTTAAATTTTTATTTTATATTTATTTTTAACTTCCCAAACTGTGACTTACCCTCATTAATATAGTTCAATTAGGTGCTTTACATTTTCTGGAGGGCACTGGTGAAGGTACACTGGGAAACATAGAACAGAAATGGAAAAATAGTGGAAAATCTCTTGGTACCTGGGAATGGGAAAGGTCCAACATCAAGGCCTGGGTGCCCAGGACCACACATAGAGTCAAGACCACAGGTGGTCATCAAGGGATGTGGGAAGTCCATTTTTGAGAATCAGTCCTCCCGAGACTAAAATCTGCAAATAACAGAAACCTCCCTTGTCCCTAGCATAAGCCCAACACAGAGGTAAAGACACTGCCATGCACAAACTGGGACTTTGGGGGAGGGGTTTTTGGAGAGTGCAACCACTCAGAAGGCTGAACCTGCTGTCCAACATCACAAAGTCCTCTGTCTCCAATCTGCTCCACCATCAGTCCACCACCAGAGGAATATGGAAACATGGTTGGGGACCGGAGCACCAGGTTTAAAGGGGGGACCACAGATTCAGGTTGACAGGAAGGGACCACAACTTCAGGTTTATGGGAGGCAATTAGAGCTCCAGGCTCATAGGAAGGGTCATAATTTTAATTACACTGGTTCCTACTATTTTCCTGTCTCTATTGCTCTGTCCCACATGATTATACTTGTGTTTAAGAAAGAACATTTTGGCTTTGTGCAGCAAATAGGCAACAGTTACTTGTTGAATTTCTCACTAGAGGTACATCAATATTGGAGAAAACCACTTTTTGCTTTTTCTCAGGGAGACAGATAGTTTTCTTTTTCATAATCAAAGATACAGTCTGGTATCTGGATCCAGATGGTATCTACTATTTTCACAACTTCCTCCATGGTTGGGGGAACAAGTGATGAGACATTTTCTTGCTGGTGTCCAGTTTTAAGTCCTCTGATTGAAATGTGAAGGTCATCACCCACTTAAAACTCCCCACCTTTGCTGTGTCCCAGGCCAGTCCCTGGAGGAGCACATGGCTGGGTCTGAGGGGCACAGAAAGCTCCTTGCCATCCTCACCGTCCTTTGCCATCCTCACCGTCCTTTGCCATCCTCACCATCCTCACTGCAGTCTACCACCTTGAGCCATTTACCCCACAGCCCTTTGTGCCATGTTGAGAACTGCTGCCACCACCACTATTGCTCTGGTGCCTGCAGCCATACCACCACCATCTTCCCTCTTTTGTTTTTCAAATCAGGCCTTGAATTCCCCATGTAGTTAAGGATAACCTTGAACTTCTGATCCTCCTGCTTCCACCTCCTGAGTGCAGTGGGGTTACAGGTATGCACCACCACATCCAGTTTTATGTAGTGCTGGGGACTGAATCCAGGGCTTTGTGCATGCTAGGCAAGCACTCTACCAATGAGCTACATCCCCCAACCTCCTCAAACCTATTTTAATGTGTTGATAAAATCAAGGCAGGACAATGAGAGGCTTATGCATACATGCTGATAACAGAGTAAAACTATGGTAACCTCTCAAAATTTATAGAAAATGGACTACTTTTTAAGATGGACCTGGAAAAAATTTGGAATAGTTTTCAATGTGGATGGAAGCAGACTTTTGCTTGAAATGGACTATACCTGGGCTGTACTCCTATTTCATCCCTAAATGCCTTCCTTGGAGTATACCTTTTCTGGGCCACATCACTGTCTCTAAACACAGTGACAATGAAATGGCAAAACTTACTCCATTTTGTTCTAGCTGACTTTTCCTTTACTCTGTGCTATTGCCCAGCCATTCCTATGGCAGTCAGCCAGACAAAAAGAATGTCTCATGCAGGCAGTTTCAGGGAGTACGTTATTTCTACAATACTGGGAAACTTACAAGTAGGCAAGTAGTATGTCCAGGTAGCATGTCCTCCCTCCTAGCCTAACCAAAACTTTGTGTTAATTGAAAACCTCTTTGTTAAATGACCTGCCCCTGGTCTGATGAACTATGTTGATCTGATGTAACTATGGTTATTGGCTTTGCCCCTGGCATGATGTACTTGTAGTTTTAAGCTTTTTAAACCCTGCCTACTTTTCCTGGGAGTCAAGAGTTCTTTTGGGCATTAGCCCTGTCTCTGACCACAGGCTATTAATAAAGGATTTGTAATTTGACCATCACTATGTGGTATTCCCCTGTGCATCTCACTCAGTATTACATTTCTGATATCATAGACCCTGTGTATAGAATGAATTATTTCTAAAGCATATTTTATATTTAATTGTTTATCACATGCTGGGAAGAGGCTAACCAAGCAATGAATCCTCATCTGAATAAACAAGACAAATTTACATTCGCCATTCATTTATTTATAGATAAGTTTTCTAAGATTTTTACTTTTCTGTTAAGAATGTACCATGAGATTGAAATTTCCAAACAGATCATTTCTTGATATTTTTAACAGGGAGATGGTGAGATTTATTCTCAGAGGGTATGATTGGGGCACATTTCTTTAAGGAGGTAGTGTTTGAGCTTGGCATTGAAAGAACTCTGAAACCTTACTCCAAGAGGATGGCCAATAGCATTCCTGGGGAAAGGCAGGCCAGATGATATTTGTTCTTTGGCTGGAGTGATATGTGGAGGTTTTTGCAGAAAAGGGTTACTTAGGGACCAAAATGTAAATCCAGCTGAGTTTGGACTCTATTCTGAATGAAACAGGAAGATAAGAAAAGTCTCTGAGCAAGAAAATTTAACAGTGAGTACTTACCAAGAGCCTACTACGTACTGGCATTGTGCTAGGTGCCAGGAATATAAAAGTGAATAGACATGCTTCCTTACTTTCAGAGCATACTTTAGGGGGTGAGTTTTCACAGCTAGCTATCTTAACAGTATAACTGGTGTCAGTACATGATGGAATAAAGAAAGAGAAGAAAAGGATGGCTAGTTAAGGAGGCATTTAAAAATCAGAGTACAAAGTGAGGGAGGTCTGACTTAGAGAAGTGGCAGTGGGAAGAGGAGAGACACTGTGGACCTATCATATGTTACAGAGAACACTACTGACTGGACTGAACAATGCTGTCATAAATTAAGCCTGTGGGAGAAAGGGAAGTTGTATTTGGATATGCAAGTTTGAGGTATCATTGGGATATTCATGTGGAGATTTCCATTTGGCTGCTAGAATATAGGTGCAGACCTTAAATGTCTGGGGAAAAAATTTAAGAACTGTATTCAGAAAAATTAAAGTGAGGCTGTGGGAATGTCTGAGTTCTTAAATAAAAGAACATAAAATGATAAAGGAAAATAATGAACCCCGAATTTGGACAGATCTCTAAATTTTAGAATGGGACATGGAAAAAAGGATCAAGAAAGGAGGCTGATTAGAGATTACCAATGTATATTACCCTAGCCAAATATCCTGAGGTTTTTACTATGTAGTAGGTCTAGCCAAATATCTTGTGATTTCTACTATGTAGTAGATAAAAACTTAGTATATCTTTCATAAATAACTTTTTTTGTCTTTTTGAGAGCGAGTCTCTCTGTAGCCCCAGCTGGCTCCAAACTATGTAGCCCCAGCTGGCTCCAAACTATGTAGAGCAGGCTGGACTTGATCTTACAGAGTTCTACTTGCCTCTGCCTCCTGAGTGCTGGGATTAAAGGCATGCATCATCAGTCTTGGTGACAAGCACCTTTACCCACTGAACCATCTCCCTAGACCCTAAAAGCCTTTTGAACAGGAGTTTAAGTTGTAAATATATTTAATAATTTGAACCCGCTCCTTATTTGACCTTAAGAAATTTTGTCTGTTTAATGCTTCTTCTCACAGGGCACTTGAGTTCAAGTATAATTTTGATTTGTGAACAATATTTATGAACAAATATATAGAGAAACAATACCTTTACATCCAGTTCTTCAGATTTAAGGCCAGAAGAAACCAAAGCTGAATAAATCAGTGCAAGGTGATGGAGTATCTTTTCTGTAAGATGGTACCTAAGAAGAATTATATTACTATACATCTATTCATTAGACATCTGATTGCAGGCATGCCCTACCACTCCTGGTATTTACTCTGCACTCTTCTGAAAAAACAGTTCTACCTCAGGCTTTAACAATACTGTTAAATATAGGGGATGCTGGGGGAGGGGTGCATGGTAAGGAGAGAAATTTTGACCCATCCCCTTCTTATCTCCTGGGATGACCATATGACCAAAGCCTAGCCAAAAAGAATAGACCATCTTCTGAGTCAAAATAGCAGGTTTATATATAGACATATGGCAGAGACGGGATACCTAGCATTTTCCATGAAATGACTCAAAGACAGCTGTATCACCAAAAACCCACTCCAGCATGGGTGGCTCATGAAAACTGAAAACCTGGAGCTCAATGCACAACATGCAGGCAGCTTAACAGGTTGGAGGTATCTTCCAGGCAGCCCAGTTGGAAGAGGCTCAGACCAGCCATGCTGCCTGGAGAGGCAGAGACCAACCAAGCTTCCTAAAGAGACAGTCTCAGACAAGCTGAACTGCCTGGACGAGCTCAGACCAGCCAAGCTGCCTGGAAGAGGCTCAGACCTTCCTCAGGATGAGGAAGCCAGACCATTGATATAAACAATAAAATCTTCATGCTGTATTAGACCTTTCTGTTTTCTTTAGTATCTTCTTAGTCGCAAACTTCTGTGATCACCTGGCACTTAGAATGGATAACAAAAAGTTTCAGAGTATATCAGCAAGGTTATTTATATAACCCCAGTATTCACTATAGGATTGTAGTTCAGGACTTCATGTTATACTACTCATCCTCTGTAAAAAGGTTTCATTATATATAGGTAACATAAAGTTAACTTGTTTTGAGGATTTGAAAGCCATTTTTGAGAGACATGTGAGTTCACTAAAAGTCAAGATGGAAATCAGTTCACAAAGGTTAAAGGCCAGATGAAGCTGTGCAATTCTTGGGCCCTTTATGGGTAAGTAAGGCACAGTTGTTATCTATAAGGTGATTGGGAAAATTCTGCAACAGCCTGAGCCTGGAAATACTACAGAATAAACAAGGGTATCTTGTGAGAGTAGAAATAGATGCTCCCAGAAGCCCTAAGGTTGTTAAAAATCCTAGTGCTAGGGGGTGGATTACCACCCCAGGAGTTGTTGGCCACACAAGCCCTAGAGGTTCCTAAAATAATGAAAGATATTGCTATTGCTGTAAGTTACATCCAAAACTGGATATTAGGACATGCTCTGGCTCTAGGACTTGGAGAGATAAAGCTAGGATTGAGCTGGAAGTGTCCCCTCCCTGTGGGCTAGCTCTTGTAGTGATGAAAGTTGCTACTAGGCACTCAACTGTGGTTTTTGCATGCTTCGTGATGGAAGCACCTGGCAAGATATGTCAGCTAATGCAATAGTGGCACAAGTGGTTATGGATACAACTAGCTTTCTGATTGTACTTAAGGACTGCTGTATAGGGAGAATTCACATCTGGTATTGGGAACTTAGACAAAAACCTATGAATAGTCATAGGCTCCAGTGGAGAAACAACTATCATTGCTTCGATAAATGAGGATGATATACTGGTTAAGGTGCTTCCCGACATTTGTGTTTATGATCATAGGTTACTACTGCTGTCAGTGTCTGGATATTTTTCCATTTCCCATTTTTGCTTTTTTCTCAATTGTGTTTATATAGCAAAAGTTATACTACTGAGATTTTCAACCTCAGCAATGGCCCTCCATTGGTCCTATCATTGGATAAATGAAAGGACATAAGGGTTTAGTTCCCTACTGGAGTTAAAGAAGAATAGTCAGACTTCTATGCCACCCCCTCTGAGGCTCAGGGAATGTTATAGAAGAGGGGGAGGAAAGAATGTAATGGAGTATTTTGTAGCAATTTCCTCTGAGATCAAACATTCCATCCTTCAGAGAAGCTCATTAAGACTCAGTATGTTCTTGTCAGGCATGGCACACACCTTTAATCCCAGCATTTCAAAGGCAGAGGCAAGAACATCTTCTGTGATTGAGGCCAGCCTGGTCTACATAGTGAGTTCCAGGCCAGCTGGGGCTACAGGGAGACCTGTCTCAAAAAAACCAACCAACCAACCAACCAACCAAACAAACAAACAAACAAACAAACCCAAAACCACCCAGAAAACATACAAAGGCTCAGGATATTCTAAAGGGGGTGGAGGGTAGGATGAAACATTCCATCTAGTAGGGAAACAGGTTAAAATCAGGAAGTAAACAATTCAAAAGTTTCAGAAGTCCCTGAAACTAAAATCCATTAGGTCTCTTCCCTCTCTTAACTTATGTAAGCAGTAAGTGACAGAATGGGTGAATTGCAGGAGAGCCACAAGCTTCATTAAAGGAAGCCATAAAGATATAAATTCCTTAAAGTGGCCAACTAACTGGTCCCAAGTTGGCAGCCTGGCCTTGCTCAAGCCTTATCAATCAGTCACTCCCTCGACTGAGAGAGACTTTATGGAACCAGTGTGTCTCCTTTAGTGCCATAGATAACTCACTCGCCCTGCCTGAGAAATCTTAGGAAGAAAGCCATCAATCACCCTAAGGACATCAGACCCTGGCACTGAGTTAACTCCTGCAAGCTGTAGCTGTGTCTGGTAGCTTTCTTATAAAAACCTCAAGGCTTCTTCCTGGTTGCAGATACCTGATTCCGTGGTGGTGGCCTCTGTCCCTCACTGTGGCTTCTAAAGAAGACATATTCTTGGCCTGTTTCAGGTCTGGCTTTCATTCTTATTTCTTAACTTTATTCCTTCCTTTTCTGCTCTCTTAAATCTAACAGTAAGGACTGCTGAGACACATTCTTAAGACAAGCTGAGCTGCCTGGAAGAGACAGATCAGTCAAGATGCCCAGAAGCAGAGATCAACCAAGCTGCCTGAAAGAGGCAGAGATAAGCCAAGCTGTCTGGAATAGGCTCAGACCAACTGAGCTGCACAGAAAAGATACTCTCCAACTGGCTGAGCTGCCTGCAAGTTGTGCAGCTATCACCCATCCTGGGGTGGGGTTTGGTTATACAGTTGTCTTTGAGTCATTTCTGCTCTTGCAAGTAAACCCTACCCACTGTCATTGGTTCACCAAATTGAACTTTGGTGGTATCCTTACTTTGGTCTGTCATTGGTTCCAAATCTGGAGTGAGTAAATGTTTGTTCCCATTGCCCCAGGAATAATGTTGGGCAAACTTTTTCCTTAAGAGTAATAGGTTAATAGAGTGACTTACTGTACCTCAGCTGCTTACAGAAACAATATGAATTCTGTTGAACACCTACTTTCCTTCTTAGCATCTAGAGCCTAGAGCTTTTACATATGCTAAAACTCTGGTCATTATGTCTGTAATAAACTACCTGACTGGATAAAAGTTTCTAAGTCTTGTTAGGCGGGCATGGTGGTGCATGCCTTTAATCCCAGCACTTAGGAGGCAGAGTCAGACAGATCTCTATGAGCTCAAGGCCAGCCTGGTCTACATAGTGAGTTCCAGGCCAGCTGGGGCTATAGGAAGAACCTGTCTCAAAAAGACCAAAAAAAAAAAAAAAAAAAAAAAAAAACCAATAAAATAATGAGAATCTGCGATTTGAGCTACAACATGGGTAATATAAGCAGAGGATAGAGTTAGATGGGAGAGAAATTTGTTTTCTAGTCTTAGTGATTAAAAAAAAGGCAATGCCAAAGATCACCAAAGGGCAGATAAGAAGAGATGCAGGTTTGGAGGGGTTAGAGAATATAGTTAGCTCATATTTGACCATGAACTTTGAGAGTCTATGGAATATTAGGGTGGAAATATTTAACAGAGAATTAGAGATGTATGTCAGGAGTTCCAAAGAAAGACTGCAGCTGCAGAAATCAATGTAATAATTTGTACAGATGGGTAATGACTAAAGCTGTAGGAGTAGATAAGATGTATAATGAATAGAACAGGAGAGAAAGAGAACTCAAGCAAATATATTTGGAGACTGACACAAAGAGATAAAGACAGAGAAAAAGCATCATGGAACTGAAGAGTTCTGAGAAACAAAGCACTGACAAAAGCCTTAAATGCTTCAGAGCAGTGAAAGATAAAAGCATTGTTAAGATGCTCAAGAGACAGAGACCTCTAGAGACAAAGATTGTCAGCTGGCAGAGGATAAAGGGAGAGGGAGGAAATAACGAGTTGACAGTGTTCAACAGTAAAGGGAAAGAGAGACATGATAACTCAGGCCTGTGTCTTGACATGAATTTGGTCAATTTTCAGTTAAGCACATCAGTGAAAGTATAGGAAGAAGCTGTGCATTTTGTTTATTAAGTAAAATTTTAGAAGGAAGTGCTTTAAGAATGATTTATCTTTTAGCAAAAAAGTCTAGCATTACTAAGTAATAAAGCACTTGAAGTAATAATTCTTAATGAAATGGGAAGAAGGAGATGATTTGGACAGAATGTCCAGGGGAACATGATTGTCCCCAGCTCCCTCATGTTTTCCTGATTCTGCCTCCATCCTGAGAATATCCCTCACTTAAAGCAAAATTTGTGTGACTATGTGTATGCAAATAGGACTGAAAACTAGAACATGAACATGACTTTGGATGAATAAATCGTTACCTACTCTGAATTTAATGTTTTCTTGGAATACAGTATTATCCAGCAATAGCTGTATTGGAATGACAGTGCCATCAGTCTCATAATGATATTGTCTGACGCCTTGTCTTGCTGTAGTTCTTCTAGGTCCTATGAAAACAGAAAATGGGAATATTGATCAGGCTGGATATTATTATAAAATGCTATCATACTTCAAGAATCTAAGATACAAAATGACAACTTAAGAAGAGCCATGGGTATGCGTTCCTATTTCATGTAAGAATTAAAATCACACAAAGTAATGGGAAAACTACAATAGACACAAAACTACAAGGTAAGGAAGCCTCAGGAATCTCCCACAGTCCAAGATATGAACAAAGTGGCTGGCTCAGGGCCCCTGTGTAGGTAATTTCAGCCCGTTGTGAACTGGGATCTGGGCACTCTGAAGGCAATAGAAAGTTTGTTTAAAACCTATGGGATCATCTGCTGATGGCCCATTGGGTAAAAGCACTTGCTGCACAAGAATGATGACCTGAGTTTGATCCCCAGAACCCACGATGAAAGGCAAGAACTGACTCCTGAAAGCTGTCTTGTGGCCTCCACATGCACACTGTGCCACATGCATGCACACACACATACACAATAATAAACATCTTTAAAAACCTATGAAATAACCTTACTGCATGTTTAAAAGCTGCAGCTAGTGGACTTCCTATGTCCATTAATGGTCTGGAATCCTCTTTTCCTCTAATCAAGAAATTTTTGAAAAAGTGAGTAATTTAAGATATGTGCTTCTTCGGAGCTGGAGAGATGGCCCATTGATTAAGTGAACTAGCTGCTCTTGCTGAGGACCTGGGTTCAGTTCCCAGCATGCACATGGTTGCTAACAACTGTGCATAACTCCAGCTCCAGGGAATCCGATGGATGCCCTCTTCTGACCTCTGAGGGCACTGCATGACATGAGTGCACTTACATACATGCAGGCAATACACTTATATGCATAATAAATAAATAAATAAATAAATAAATAATTCAAAAATTAAGAGGAAATATAAAGCATCAAATAAGTTTGGGAATAGTCATTTTCCATGGTGGTAATTTAATTCTGGATATTAAAGGCATGGTGGTGCATACCTTTAATACCAGACTTCAGGAGGCTGAGGCAGGTGGATCTCTGAGATGGAGAACAGCCTGGTCTACATAATGAGTCCCAGGTAGGCTGAGATTAGGGAGACCCTGTCAGGAACAAACAAAGAAACAAATAAAAAACCATGATAATTTAGTACTATGCCCATTTGCAAAATTTAGAAAAAAATCAGATTATATTTAGGTTCCCTATAGAAAAGACAAGAAATCACATAGCTGTATGTATTTTAATGTATTTGAGTTTCTAGTTTTTAGTATTTTTATTAGTTCTTGAGAATTTCATAAAATGTTCTTTGGTCATATTCATCCCCCACCACTCCCCTAACTCCTCCCAGATCCACCTCCCACCCAAATTTCTATTTTTTATTGTATAGTTTTTACCTGCAAAATTACAGCAGTGTGCTCATCAATTGTCACCACTACGTAATGCTCTGTACTTCCAAAGAGTTTCAGTGATTCACTGCAGCATCTCTCTATTAGTGTGATGTTATAGCTGAAAAAGACAGTATTTTTCAGTGAAAATAATGGCATGGTTAAGAAAACTTTTTCAAAGAGTGTTGGGTTTCTTTTTGAATATTAAATTACTTGAATTACTGTTTTTCCTTTAATAATTTATACATTTTAGGGAGGAAATTATGGTTTATTCAGTATATAAAAGAAGTTAGAGATCATTCACCTCTAATCGCTAGTTGCTCAGCTTGGAAAGACACCAGTATGTTTTCTGTTGATTCTATCTCTAATAATTTTATTTTAATTTTTATTGAATTTTTGTGTATTTCATATAGAAAATCATCTTTATACCCCCTTCCCCTTTGGCACCTCCCAAAGCTCCCCCACACACTGGAGCTCATACATTTTCATTTGTGTTAAGGCCTATCATGTAAAATTAGTGCCCCCAGATGTCCCTCAGTGCAAGTTCATCCACCAGGATTTAGTCAGTCTATCTAGAGTCTCTCCCTTCAAAAAGATCAGCTCTTTCTCACCCAGCAGTAATCAGCTGCCAATAATTCTTCAACTAAGATTGGGGCCTGCTGTTCATTCTACAGTTCTGTACTGGGTTTTTGTCTGCCTAAGTTTGCATGGGTTTTGTACATATGACACCATTGCTGTAGGTTCGTATGAGAAGGGTCCCAGAAGCCTATAGGACCATTTCCTTATGATCATGCACCTTCCTCCCTGACTCTTACAATCTTTCCACCCCCCTCTTCTGCAATGGTCCCTGAGCCCTGGGTGAGACCTCAATATAGGAGTCCTGTCCAAGGACCCACACTCCACAGACTCTTATGCTCTGTGTTTTGGCCATTTGTGACCTTTTGCCTTCTTGGCCCTCTGTTTCATGAGGGAGCTTCATTAATGAGAATTGAAAGATGCATTAGTGTTCTCTTCATCCCTCACTCCATGTTCTGTGAGTCTTAGGTGTAGAGGTTGCATCCTAGATGCAACTTAGGCTTGGGCAATTAACAGAGAATCTCTGTGTGTGACCAGTTGTGTAACTCTGTAATAATCTCTGTCTGTTGAAAAAGAAGCTACTTTGATGGGTGGTGACTGGGATACTTGTCTGTAAATTTAAGGATCCATATTTTGCACACAGTAAGAAATTACATTTGTCTAGGGATATGAGAGCCTTGGGGTTTTCTCTAAGATTTATGACCTCTCCAGCTATGTAGCTAGGTTTACAGTACCAGACATGAGTTTCCTCCCATTGAATGGGCTTTAAGTCCAATTAGGTAGCTGTTGATTACCCCCAAGATAAAAGTGCCACTACTGCACCAATGTTGTTTGCTGTGCTAGTCATTGATATGGTTTTTAGGCCTTGAAGCTAGGGTTGGAGCATCGATTGCTTTTCTCCCTTACCAGCTTGTGTAGTGCTCTCCAAAGCTATGATTGCTAGCCTTCAGGGGAGGTGGCTTCCAGGTCAGTTCCAGCTCCACTGCTCCAAATCCTATCTGAAGTATGTCTTATCTTCAGCCATAATGTCTTACCATGAAGTTCTGGGAGGCAATCAAGGACTGTGGCAATAGCCTGTGTAATTTTGGGAGTCTCTTAGACAACCCTAGCCAACAACTCAAAGGAAGATTTCTCCTGTCTGACACTGTTTCTTGTTATGTGGTCTTCAGCTGTACTCACAGACTCATGTAGGGATATTGTATGTATAATTTTTCAGTAGGTTTTTTGGACTAATACAATTCCCTCTGGTTTTTTATACTAGCTAGTATGTCTCCTTTCTCTGTCCTATCCTCCCTCCCTGACCTCCCCATTTAAAATGTCTCCATTTTCCCCATTTCTCCCTTGATAATTTCTGTCTGCTATGGTCCCACCTCTCTTGAGCGCCTTCATCCCCTTTATTCACATAGTTCTTTGTATAGCCCTCCTTCTCCCCCTCCCCCTTCCCTTTAACTACCCCTTTTTTACACATATCTCCCTTAGTAACACCTGTCTCCTACTATTCTTTTGCGGGGTTCCTTCTTTTCCTTTACCTCCCTGGTTCCCTTCCATTTTCCTGGTTCCTGCAGTTACATCACAATATGTACTCACTTATAAGGATTTGGTCCTAGGATCCACAAATAAGGAATAACATATGTCTTCTGTTTTTCTGAGTCTGTTACTTCACTTAGTATAACAGTTTCTAGATCCATCAGTTTACCTGCAAATTTCATTATTTCATTTTTCGTTACTGCTGAATAGAACGCCATTGTGTAAATGTACCACATTTTCATTAACCACTCATCAGTTGAGCGGCACTTAGGTTGCTTCCATCTCTTAGCTATTGTGAAGAGAGCAGCAACAAACATGGTCGTACAAGTATCTCTGGAATAGGATGAGTCCTTTTGGTATGTGCCAAGGAGTGGTATAACCGGGTCATATGGTAGGTTCATTTTTAGTTTTTTAAGAGTTCTCCACACAGCTTTCCATGGGGGTTGCATGAGTTTCCAATCCCACCATCAATGAATGAGCATTCCCCTTTCTCCACATCCTTGCCAGCATTTGGTATCCCTTGTTCTCTTGATCTTAGCCAGTGTGACTGGGGTAAAATGAAATCTTAAGGTGGTTTTAATTTGCATTTCCTGAATTATAATGTTGAACTTTTTAAGGTATGTCTTAGCCATCTTTATTTCTTCCTTTGAGAACTCTCTGTTTAGATCTTTAGCCCATCTTTTAACTGGGTCATTTGTTTTCTTGATTCTTTTGTTTTGTTTTGAGTTCTTTATATACTCTGTTAAACCTCTGTCAGATGTGTCACTGGTGAAGATTTTTTCTCACTCTATGGTTTTCTCTTACTTGCTTTTTTCCTTTGCTGAACAGAAGACTTTTATTTTAATGAGGTTCTACTTGTTGATTTTTGAACTTAATTCCTGAGCAACTGGTGTCTGATTTAGAAAGTCCTTTCCTACACCTATATCTTGTAGGTTACTGCCAGTGTTTTCTTCTAACAGTTTCAGAATTTTGAATTTCACATTGAGGTCTTTGATCTATTTGGAATTGTGTGAGATGGAAGATAAAGATCTAGTTTCATTCTTCTGCAGGTAGAGATCCAGTTTTACAAGCATCATTTGTTGAACGTGCTGTCTTTCCTCCATTGTGTGTTTTTGGCCCCTTTGTCAAATTTCAGGTGACTGAAATATTGTGTACTCAGGTTTGGGTCTTCAATTATGTTCCATTAATCTATGTGTCTATTTTTGTACCACTACCATGCTGTTTTTATGACTATGACTGTAGTATAGTTTGAGATCTGGTATAGTAATCCCCCCAGCGTTGCTCTTTGTGCTCAGGGTTGCTTTGACTATCTGGGGTCTTTTGTGCTTCCATATGAATATAAAGGTGTTTTTTTTCTAATTCTGTAAAGTATGTCATGGGGATTTTGATTGGGTTGCACTGAATCTATATATTGCTTTTGGTAGGATGGTCATTTTCACAATACTTCCAATACATTGAGGAATACACTCATCATTCAGGAGTGTGATGTTTAATATCCATGAGTTCATGTGGCTACTAGGGCTTCTTCTGGTGGTGATTTTAAGCTCTATTGCATTTTGGTCTGATAGAATTCATGGAATTATTTCATTTTTTTGTATTTGTTGAGGTTTGTTTTGTGCCCCAGTATGTGGTCAGTTTTTGAGAAAATTCCATGGGGTGCTGAACAGAAAGTGTATTCTTTGGTGCTTGGATGGAATACAGTAGATATCTGTTGGGTCCATTTGATGTATGGTATAATTTAATTCAAATGTCTCTGTTTATTCTTTGTCTGGTTGACCTATCTAATAGAGACAGTGGGGTATTGAAGTACCCTGCTATTACTGAGTTGTGGTTAATCTGTGTCTTAAAGTCCTGTAGTATTGTTTTTATGAATTTGGGTGCAGAAGAGTTTGGTGCATATATGTTCATGATTGTAATATCTTCTTGGTTTACTGTTCCTTTGATCAGAATGAAGTGACCTTCTTTATCTCTTCTGATTAGTTTTAGTTTTAAGTCTATTTTGTCATATATTAAAACTGCAACCCCTTCTTGTTTCTTAGTGCCATTTGCTTGAAATATTCTTTTCCATCCTTTGACCTTAAAGGAGTGCCTGTTCCTGAAGGTAAGATGGGTTTCTTGCAGACAACAAAAAGATGGATTTTCTTTCTTAATCCACTCAGCTAGCCTGTGTCTTTTGACTAGGGATTTCAGTCCATTGATTTAAAGTTATTATTGAAAGATGTGCATTGGTTGCCATCATTTTGATGTTTGCATCTTTTGTCTAATTTTGTATTTCTACAATTATACTTTCATTTAGTTTCTTTCTGTTGCCCCTTGGGTATAGCTGTTCCTTTCTCCATTCTTTATATTGCTTCAAGTATTCTTTGAAGGGCTGATTTTGTGGACATGTATTCTTTCAGCCTATTCGTGTCATAGAAGATTTTTTTCCTCCTTCAACTATAATAGACATTTTTTCTGGGTAAAGTATTCTGGTTCGGTATCTATGATCATTTAGAACTAGAAATACCTTGGTCTAGTCTCTTCTGGCTTTCATAGTTTGCATTGCTAAGCCAGTTGTAATTCTGATGGGTTTTCCTTTATATGTGAATGTGATTTGTTGTTTTTCTTTGCAGCTTTCAGTGTTCTCTTTTTGTTCGGTACATTTAGTGTTTTTACTATGATATGCTGTGGGGAGCTTCTTTTCTGGTCCTGTCTATTTTGTGTTCTATGTGCTTCTTGTATTTGTATGGGCATGTCTTTCCTTAATTTTGGGAAATTCTCTTCTACAGTCCTGTTTAAGATCTGCTCAGTACCATTAAACTGAAATTCTTCTCCTTCATCTATGCCTATGATATGTAGATTTGGTCTTTTCATGGTGTTCCACATTTCCTGCATATTCCATTCCTGTGTTTTTAAAGTTTTTCATAATCTTTGCTTCAGCAGTCCAATTCTTCAACTTTATCCTCCAGTGTTGTTATTCTGCTTGCATTTCATTTATTCTATTGGTGAGGCTTTCTCCTGTTGTTTCAAACCAGCTTATTGAGTTTTTCACTTCCTTCTTCATTTCACCCTGAGTTTTCTTCAATGTTTCTCTTTTGTGAATTCAGTCAGAAGTTTATACCTATCTTCTTGTAGTTCTTTGATTTGTTTGTCTGTGTTTCTTTAAATTCTTTGAATTCCTTGATCATGTTTATGATTGTTCTTTTAAATTCTGTGTCCTGGGTTAGCTCTAGGGGATTCTTCTTGAAGAACTTGTCTATAGGACTGGTGGAGTTTGGTGGGAACATACTGTTTCGTTTTTTCACATTATTATTTTTCTGTTGTGATTTTGGCATGTGGATTTTTTTGTTGTCCGTGATTCTGGTATGAAACTCGAGCCATCCTTTATTGAATTGAAGCCTGCTTCTGTTTGTATTATTGGTATGCCTTGGTTGTTTTCTTATTGGGTATGTAAAGCTGGTTTGTCTAGGTTTCAGGTTCACTGGAAGTTAACTAATGGCTTAGGATTAGTTACTCAGGAGCTTCCACAGAGGCCCAAGCCAGGTTCCAGTCAGGAACACCGAGGCTTCCTAAGGTCTGGACCCCTACTAGTGGGTACTCACACCACAATGTAGAAAGTCCACTAAGGGGAGGTCTGATTTTGGCACTCTCTGGCAGTCTGCTAAGGTCTCCGCCCCTACTGTAGGGCAGGGAGGTCTAGCCCTGGCAAAGTGGGAGGGGTCACACATGGTCCCAATGCAGGGGGTTGGACACAGAGTGATTTGGGGATGCTCACCACCAGGCAGAGGCCAGATCCAGGCACTCTCAGGCAGCCTGATAAGGTCTCAGCCCCTACCCTACTGTACGGCAGTGAGATCTAGCTCTCTTATCTCTAATAATGTTAATCTCCTTTAAAAATGTTAGTTATTTTTAAAGATTTATTTTTATTTATGTGTGTTTGTGTCTGCATATTGGTATGTGCACATTTGTGTGGGTGTCGGAAGTCAGAAGAGGATGTCAGATCCTCTGCAGCTGGAGTTACAGGCAGTTGTGAGCTGCCTGATGTGGGAGTTGGGAACTGAACCCAGGTCCTCTGCAAGAGCAGTAGGTGCTCTTAACAGCTGAGCCATCTTTCCAGACCCATATAAATCTCTTTTATCTTTCTTTCCAATGATCATCCTTTTAAAAAAATAAATGCTACTTTAGGTATTGTATTGAAGAGTTGTGTGTGTGTGTGTGTGTGTGTGTGTGTATGTGTGTGTGTATAATTACAAGTGACTTGATCAGTTTATTCTAGTTCTTTAAGTAGAAACTCATGAAATCAAAACCTGTATTATTTGATTAAAAATCCTGAGTTTATCAGAATTTTCCTCTTTTTAAAATTGTTCTACTTTGGGGGTTGGGGAGAAGTTGCTGGAAGTTAAACCCAAGGTGTCACACACACTAAGTATAACTCTACGACTGAATAACAGCCCAAGTCTCTGCCTACAGTTTACCTACTTATTATAAGCTCATACTTTTCTATGAGTACTCTATAGCCTTAAGATACCACAACAAAAACATATAATATTGGTTTGTATTTTTTTCTGAGATAATAATTCAATTATCCTTCCTTGATATGCAATTCAAGGTCAAACATTCCTATAACAACTATGTGCTATGACATGGTGTTTTTGAGTTTAAAACACTCAAATTTTGGTATAACCTTAGAACTAACAACCTAAAATTCAAGAATTCATTTAGAACATCACAGTCCTATTTCTTACACAGTTTTTAAAGTTCCCTATACAAAAATTCTCATTCTCAACATTGTTAACATGCATGAATATACAATTCACAGAAAAAGAAATATCAAATGTTTATATTTACTGGTAACAAGAGAAGATTAAAATATAAATTCAAACAAAAATTAAATCTGTTTTGACAATAAAATTGGCACATTACCAAAAATGTAATATTCAATAATTATAAGAATAGTATAGGGATTAGAACTATAAATTGATACAAATTCATGACTGGAGAGACAGCTCTGCAGTTAAGATGGTTGCTCTTGCAGAGGACCCGGGTTCGATTCCCAGCACCCACATGGCGGCTAACAACCATCAGTAACTCCAGCTCCAAGGGATCTGACACCTTCTTCTGACCTCTGCAGGCACTGTACAACACAGGTGCACTTAAACACATGCAGACAATAAAATAAAAATAATAAAATAAATAAAATATTTAAAAATTGATATAGACTCTTTGGAAAATACTCTAACATAATTCTAGCCTTGATTATAAAAAGTTATAACATGTAAAGCACAAGATGTAACCTATCAGACTATATCCATACACACTAAAGTTGATAAGATCGGTAACTAAAAATCAGTTGCTTACTTAGATTCCAGCAGCTGAAGTATTTCTGGAGTATTAAGAAGTCCTTCAGATGCAAAAAACACATATGGAACCTGAATTTCCAAGAGAAACCCACCAAATCTGTCCGGCAAGATGTTTGCTAAGTAAGAGAAATTTTATGAATATTTACTTTTTTCTTCTATCAAGCAACTTTCTCTTTTTAATTAAACATTAGTAAAACAGGTATATGTTCAAGGAGTTGTATAAACATAATATTTATCATAAATAAATTTTAATATAGAACAAATTTTCTTTTCATAGATGATAAATAGGAAACAGAAAAATGGGGAAAAGGGTTTTGGTTTAGGTCCTTACATTTAAAAACCATGTCTGGAACAATTACTTTAAACGCTAGGAAAGGCATATTCAACTGTTCACAGTGCTTAGACCAGCAAGAGTGTCCTACATAATTGTATTCCACCACAAATGAGAAATTGCTCCAGGGGAAATCTGCTCCAATATTCTGATTATGTACAATCACACAGGAACTTGTACTGAAGAGAAATGGAAGGCAAGAAAATGAATTATACTTGTGTCATTATTGTATTGAAATAGTAAAGATGATTTTCTGGCTTTCTTTGATCTATGTCTACTCAACTTGGAAAAGCACTGCTGCATTTTCTGTTCATTCCTTCCGTAACTGTATTAATCTATGTTTATCATTCTGATGATTATATTTAAAAAAATAGCAGAACATAGAAAACTTTGGACTTTTTCATGTCCCACATGCAATTCTGATTTTATTACTTGAGTACTATCAATGACAAAAAACAAGAAAAATCAATTTCATCTTATCAATGTAGTCTTAATATTCAGAATCTACATATTAGAATATTTCTGACAATTCCAAAATGAGGTTGTTGTTTCTCAATGGGATTCATAAGTATTTTAACAAAAACAAAAAGAATGAACACAAGTATTATTATAAGTTTTGCTTTCTCATTAAGTTGGTTTTTTTTTTTTTTTTCGTCTTTTTGAGACAGGGTCTCCCTGTAGCCCCAGCTGTCCTGGAACTCACTATGTAGACCAGGCTGGCCTTGAACTCACAGAGATCCGCCTGCCTCTGCCTCCTGAGTGCTGGGATTAAAGGCGTGCGCCACTGTGCCCCACTCCCATTAAGTTTTAAATGATGTAGCACCTACTGTAATTAAAATTCCCCACTGCTGCTTGCTATACAGAGCAATCTAGAAGTCAAAAAGTATTTGTGTCTAGTTTTTATTTGATTTGTATCTCTTTTGATTATTTGGATCCCAATATTAGAAATAACTAATTTTTATATGAAATAGGAAAAATAAAGATATTTTAAGAGGCAACAATAGGCTGGGCATTCGGGAGGCAGAGGCAGGTGGATCTCTGTGAGTTCAAGGTCACCCTGGTCTACATAATGAGTTCCAGGCCAGCTGGGCTAGAGGGAGACCCTGTCTCAAAAAGACCACAAAAACAAACAAATGAAACCCAACACTAGATCTAATATTAGCAAGCCCTTCTCAGGAAAGAGACCCAGAAGAAAGAAAGGAGATATAAAAACAAACTGAGCAAAGAAAAAATAAGGTAAAAAATGATAAAATGGTACAAAAGAAGGGTAAGCTTGAAAAGATATTTCTATACTAACAATAAAAATGGTGATAATTTAAATATCAAAATGAGACGGAACTAAATTTCTGAACATGATTTTATAAAATATACAAGGCAATGATCAGAGTTAAAGTGTTCTGTGTAAGGCATTTTTTCATGAGGAGAGTAAAAACATTGAGTTCAGATTCTCTTAAACTTAAGTTTAACCCTAGAGAAATCACCTTCCCAGGTGTTAGGGACTAAAACTAAGGCTTCACTCATGATAAGTGAGCACTCTATCGCTGAGCTATATCCCAGCCAAAACTCTAGGAGAAATTTTGCTTTTCCTGTGGAATGGATATGCTTGTTCTCCATATTAGAAAAAAATACATTTTACCCTTTTAAAAGGTGTTTTAAAACATCTTTAGGTTCCAGAAAATCTTTTCTTTCATTTGAATGAAAAACAGTTAATGTCAAACCTGTTTGGAAAAAAAAAAGAGTTTTTTAATAAATTTTTTAATATGCCATATATTTATTTCACACCTATAAAAGTGAACTAAAGATCTATAAACAAGGAAATTGCTTGAAATATAATTTTCCAGATAATATCTCTGAGTCTAACATACCAGGAAGTTAAAAACATAAGCAATACTTATGGTGTGTATGCAGAGAGTTTGTGGCAAATCTAAACTTTTTATGACACATAAAAGGAGTAATTTAGTTTTAAAGCAACCATGATAAATACTCATTAGCTGTGCAGTTAATTTTATTTTGCCTCAGATCATAGGTTTTTATTTTTTTCTCTAGCATGCATGTATGTGTGTGTGTGTGTGTGCGTGTGTGTGTGTGTGTGTGTGTGTGTTTCTACTGGCTATATAAGAAGCAGATATGAAGAACTATTGGTCTTAATTGCTTTTTAATTGTAATTTAGATTTTTTACTACTGTTCATAAACAAAATATAGTAAAGTTCAAAACACTCTGTACCCTTAATGCAACTTATTTTTGGTAGGCATAATTAATTAGGCAATAGCTAAACCAAGACCAAATTAATTCTATAATCTATTAGTGTACTTTTGGCAACTGTTAAGGTTCACAAAATCATTATGTAATAATGGCAGAATAACGGTTAATAATTATGCGTAATTTTACTTGATAAGACAATGGTTTTGGTAGCAGTAAGAACTGAGAAAATTTCTCTTACATAATTCATAAGATAACTTACATAAAGTTTAACCTGCTTAAATAAATTATTTCTATTGGCTGAGATCCTGAAACAAATTAATGACTTGGTGAATACCTTACTAGATCTTTTAAACAATGTGGAAAATGAGACCTCATTTTTTTCCTATCACTAGACTAAAAAAAGGCCTAGCTAGCTCCTAGATGAGGACAGTTGTTAACTGGAAAGAGATTCAAAACATTTCCAGTTTGTGTAGTCAAGATTTTTGTCAGCATGTATTGCTGAAATGAGGTCAGCAAAAAAAGATGGCACAGTTCCAAGTGCCAAAAGCAATGGGATGTTCAGTCTGAAGCCTAGACAAGAGAGACAATGCTGTCAATTATCTGAAATGGCATCAAAGGAGAGGATGCTCCATAAGTAGGCCTAAGTATTCTTCCCTGCAGAGAACAACTATTTCCTTACTTTCATAAAACATTTCTCTAGTTATCTAAATCCCTAGTTTAAAAAATGTTAATATTGCCAGGTGTGGTGGCGCACGCCTTTAATCCCAGCAGTGGGGAGGCAGAGGCAGGTGGATCTCTGTGAGTTCAAGGCCAGCCTGGTCTACATAGTGAGTTCCAGGACAGCTGGGGCTACAGGGAGACCCTGTCTCAAAAAGACAAAAAAATGTTAATATTGCTCAGTACTTTCCTGATTTTTTTTACATTCTTATTTACTTATTGTATGTGTGTGTATGTTTATGTATGTGGTGCATGTGCCATGGTGCACATGTGGAGGAGTGTGTGTCGGTACATGCCACAGAATATGTGTGGAGGTCAGAGAACAACGTGCAGGAGTTGGTTCTCTCTACCATTTGGGTCCCAGGGATTGAACTCAAGTTGTCAAGCTTGGTGGCAAACACCCTTACTGAGTCATCTTTTCTGATTTTGGAAGATGTTTCCAATTGTCTGATTCTAGAAAACTGTAGCATTTTCAGTCCACAATTGTTAAGTACTGTCTTAACATGTTGGTATTATTAAGAGTCTAATGAATTTTGATGAATATCAATCCCTGTTCACATGATTAGAAAGCTAAGTGAAATAATAAACAAGATACAAGCTTATAAATATGGCCCTCAGTAATACTAAACATGTTAAAAACACCTAGGATAATGGCAGGGCCAGGGGTGTAGAGAATCCCAAGAGGCAGGTATACAACTCTCCATGGAAATGACCCTATCATTAGAACATGATGGTAATTTGGAGTGGTAGGAAGCTATACGGCAACATGGCTCCATTCAAAAGATAAAGGAAGAAAGTTCTGAAGATGAAACAATGACCTTTGTATGTTTGTTCTGATTGTCAGCTTGACACAACCTAGAATCACCTGGCAAAAGTCTCAATGGAGGATTGTCTAGATCAGGTTGGCCTGGGGGCATGTCTGTGGGAGATTATCTTGACTACATTAATTGAAGTAGGAAGAACTGCTCACTGTGGGTAGCATCATTCCCCAGGCAGGGGATTCTGGCCTGTGTAAGTGTAGAGAAGCTAAGCACAAGGAGACACACATGCGTTCAGGTTCTCTCTACTTTTGACTGGTTAGATTAATACATTAATATATTCAAATATTTATCAAACAAAGCATAATTTTATGTTCTTACCTTCGATTTTCTTAAGGATTTTAATGAGCAAATGTTTTTCTCCATCTGACTCCATTCTTATTATAATTAGTACCTAGTCAAAAACAAGAATTTCATATGTATCACTCAATGATTATTCTTTCCTTTCTTTTTCTTTTGTGTGTGTGTGTGTGTGTGTGTGTGTGTGTGTGTGTGTGGTGTTGGAGAGTGAACCCAAGGCCTCACGCATTAGGCAAGTGTTCTACCACTGAGTTATAGCCCCACACCTGGATTCTTTCTCATAGTTTTGCTACAGAGACAAAATTAGTAAACTTAACTGGCCACATGAAACTAATGGAAGTAAGATTATGGAATTGCCAGGTCAGGTGGCCTCTCGTGGTCCCAGCACTCAGAAGGCTGAGGCAGGAGGACCTGGAGCTCAAGCCAGCCTAGGCAACATATGGAGCCCCCTGTCGTAAAACAGAAAACCAAAAAATTACAAAATACTTGTGTTATTAAATATACCAATACTTATGCACAAAGGAATAAACATCACCATCAGACATTGAGGAAAATTCCAAGATAGAGTTTCTCAGCATCCCATGTATACTATCAATGCAGAAGATGTCTCAGTCTGTTCTGTTAGTGCTCATTTCAACCCAGACAGATTTGAAGTTATTGTGGAAAACTAGTGATTTGTTGCTGAATTCTCCTGCTATTCTGGAGGGGAGCTATGAATCAGTTTCAGTTGTAAACTTCTCACTTACAGATTTAACTTCTTTTAATGACTTAAAACAGTCACTCAAAAGACTATAAAGTTGAAGATAAGAAACTATAAAGTTGAGGGTGACAGAGTGGATAAGGAAAAAGCCCACGTAAGTATGTATTCAGCTGCAGTATGGACATTTGAGATGATTTTCTGCTTGATTAGATTTAGAAAGGTATTTCTGTTTGACATCTTTATTAATTCAGCCTTCATATACTTGATGTAGGGTAAGTAAATAATTTCTAATATAAGCCAAGATATAAAGTAAGTTCTTTTCTCTTTTTTTTGTCTTTTTGAGACAGCATCTCCCTGTAGCCCCAGCTGTCCTGGAACTCTCTATGTAGTCCAGGCTGGCCTTGAACTCACAGAGATCCACCTGCCTCTGCCTCCTGAGTGCTGAGATTAAAGGCGTGCGCCACCATGCCCGGCCTATAAGTACTTTTTCTTACACAATCACATCAAATGAGATTCTGGCTCACTATCTAAAAATAAATTATTATAGTTCTATTATTATTTATATGTTCAAATATACATAATATCAGATGAAATTTTTGGAAACAGAATCAATCTAGAGAAAAGTTTATAAGAAAAATTATTTTGTTTTATTTATTTTTCAGTCTTTTTTTTTTTTGAGACAAGGTCTCCCTGTAGCCCCAGCTGGCCTGAAACTCATTATGTAGACCAGGCTGGCCTTGAACTAACAGAGATCCACCTGCTTCTTCCTCCCAAGTGCTGGGACTAAAGGCATGCGCCACCACACCTGACAAATTATTTTAAAATTGATGGCATATGAATAATGATGCAAATTTCCCTTTTTCTGGGTTTAAATCTGCTTTTACCTTACATAAGGAGAAAACTGTCAAGGGCCAAATACTACAGACTATTTCATAACTTTAAAGTTAAATGTGGGGCTGGAGAGTTGGCCCAGTGGTTATGTGTACTGGCTGTTCTTGCACAGGACCCAGGTTAGATTCCCAACACCCACATGGCAGCTAACAACCATCCATAACTCCAGTTCCAGGGGATCCAATGCTTTCTTCTGACCTCTATGGCCATTGCAAGACACACGTGTACTTACATACCTACAGGCAATACATTCATACACATAAAAATAATAAGATATTAAAAAAATAAAGTTAAATGCAAAAATTCATGTTATATCCAAGTCTTATTTAAGCTAACTATCTGCTTTAGCTCAATACTTAACCTTAATTTGCTGTTGACTTTGCATCCAGCTTAGTATCTGACATTGCAATTCTTGTATCTTGTAGTTTGTTTCATGCCTTTTCTCCTTAATAAACTGTAAAATTTTCAGCTGTCTCCAAATGTTATCCAAATATGAGCCTAACATGCTTTTGTAGACATCTTTTGCATTTGATAAATACCCTGTAGAGAAAAATTAGGGAAAAAAAACCCATAATTTTTTTTTAAATTAGAAACTATGGTTAAAAAAAAAACAAAAGCAGCTGGGTGTGGTGGCACATGCCTTTAATCCCAGCACTTGGGAGGCAGAGGCAGGCGGATCTCTGTGAGTTCAAGGCCAGCCTGGTCTATATAGTGAGTTCCAGGACAGTTGGGGCTACAGGGAGACCCTGTCTCAAAAAGAACAAAAAACAAAAAAAGCAAAAAGGAAATGCATCATAATGAATCATAAGAGTGATGGCTGACATTTCATTTAGTTGCATTCTTCATTTGTTTGTTTTTTGAGATAGGGTCTCCCTGTAGCCTCAGATGCCCTGGAACTCACTATGTAGACCAGGCTGGGCTCCATCTTACAGAGATCCACTTGCTTCTGCCTCCTGAGTGCTGGGATTGAGGGAGTGTGCCACCACACCCAGTCATTTAATCCTAGTCTGATTTTAATCAAAGATACTGGTATTTAAGTTTAAATTTATGTTTTAAACTAATACATTAAAAACTGTCCATGTCTCTGTAAGTTCAAGGCCAGTCTGGTCTACATAGTGAGTTCCAGGACAGCTGTGGCTACAGGGAGACCCTGTTTCAAAAAGACGAAAAAAAAAAAAAGACAAAAAAAATTATTTTCAACAAAAAGAAAACAAGAAGTAAAAATTTCTGTACCAACCCAATGCTGTATCCAAGCTGCATGTTAAAAGGACATCTCTAATTGTTACCAGAAGATGTAAGAGAGCAGCATACTTAAATGTCATTTCTCTGTCATCATTTTTACCTATGTAACGAAAAACATACTTAACATATTGGACTTTTAGAATATTTATCAGAATCGTCTTGAAAATAAGAGTTCATATTTATTATTGAGTGCTTACTATTGCTATGCTAGGTATAAGCTGGTTATTTCATTGAATCTATGACAACAATCCTATCAGGAAGGTTTATTATGATCCACATTTTATGGATGAAGACACAGTCTTAGTGAGGTTAAGTAATGCCCAAGTTAGTATTAAACCCAGACAGCTAACTGTAGAGCTAGACATAACAGGGAGGCTGCACCCATGACATCTCAACAATATTGTTGCCAAAACAAGGCCTGCACAATGACAGCACCAGTTGATGTGCCAATGTGGATGGAGGAAATTTCATAAGGCCCCACCCCTAGACCAAGAGCTATAGGCAACTAATGGCTGCTGAAGGAAGGAGAATCAATTTCTCCAGGGATGAGTCCCTTGATAAGTTATCTAATCCCAAGTCGTCAGCCCTAAACACATGTACATATGAATATTACTAAATGACTCAATATGTGATATATGTATGTTATAATAATTATAGAAGAGGTCATAGCTTCAAGAGGGGCTGGAGGGGCATGGGAGGAGAAGGGAGGATGGAAATGATATAAATGCAGTGCTCACATATTAAATTCCTCCCCAAATTTAAATTAAAAAAATATTCAATTACTTTTACTCTTATTGGTAAAATATCAATTTATTCCCAGTTCTAAAGCAAGAAAAATTCATAACTTGACAATTGGCTAAGAGAAAGGTGAAGATTTATAACATACAACACCTTGAAATGGAGATGAACATCCAGAAATGTTAGCCCAAAGATAGAACTCACACACAAGAGAAGTATTTACAAGGAAAAGTCAATTGCCTAATCAATGTGTTCTATATACTTCCAGAACTTTTTGAAAATGATTGGATTCTTCTGCATGCAAAAGTGTGATATAGGGCTGAGCATGGTGGCGCATGCCTTTAATCCCTGCATGGGGTGGGGGTGTGTGGGAGACAGGCTTGAGCCTAGAGTGAAAGTCTTATTGACAGCCATACAGCAGGCCTGAGGCAACAGCCTGACTGCTGGAGCCACAAGAAACACCTTGTGGCATTTTGCTCCCATTGGCAGATCATGAGACTGATGCCTAGAGCTCGCCACTCCCTAATCACCACCCTTGGATACCTCACCTTTAAACCACTTGCTGTACTGTGCACCACCCTTGGATACCTCACCTTTAAACTACTTGCTGTGCTGTGATTGGACCACTACCCCTATATAAGCTTGTGTCTTCCTTCCTGCAATAAACCAGATCTGCGTCACTGAACATGGTCTCCTGTGTCTAAATGCAGCTCTGCTGACAGTCTCCTCACCAGGCCTGGGGTCCGGACCAGGCGACTGATCAGAGGAACTAAGAGAGCAGGAGAACGGCCATAGCCAGAGGAGAGCAGCCACAGCCCGTGACCACAGGGGTGGGCGGGGGGAGCAGAGGCAGGCAGATCTCTGTGAGTTCAAGGCAAGCCTGGTCTACATAGTGAGTTCCAGGTCAGCTTGGACAGGGAGACCCTGTCAAAAAAAGACCAAAAGAAAAAAAAAAGTATGACATAGGAGTGGGCACACATGTGCTGTGGCATGTGTATGGGGGTCAAGGACAACTTGCAGATGTTGGTTTTTTTCTTCTATTATGTGGGTTCTGGGGATTGAACTCAGGTTGTCAGATTTGGCAGCAATCAATTTTATCTGCTGAGCCATCTCACTAATCCTATTTTATTATTTTGTGATTTTTGTTTTGTTTTGTTTTTTGAGTCTCTCTGTACCCTCAGCTGGCCTGGAACTTGCTATGTAGACCAGGCTGGCCTCCATCTCACAGAAATCTGCCTACCTCTGCCTCCCAAATACTGGAATTAAAGGTATGTGCCACCATGCCTGGCTACTATTTTATTTTTTAAAAGACTGTTAATTTGCTAATTATACATATATAGGACATCTAAGTTTAATAATTTAGAAAACTGACAACATGTAATAAGCACATTATACCTTGGCTCTTCCACTGATTCAGCTATAAACACAGGACAGAATACACGAGGACTTAAACATGAATGGTAGCAGGTTGACTGGAGGAGGGAAGGAGGTCAGATTTCAAAATGAAACTCAGCAAGTGACAAGACTCCTATTTTTCCCATTATTGTGTTCTAGGCTAGACTATAGGAACCGCCCCCCACCCAAACCTCTTAGTGCATGCCACAGCAGGGACAGAAATAACTCAGTGAAGTCCCTTAATACATGAGAGGTAGAAAAGGGACTGTCATGGATAAGAAAGAATAGGAGAAACCTGATATCTTGTTCTAAAATCTGTTTTCTAGTCTCTCCTGCCCCTAGACCCACATGGTTAGGTTTAACAAGTGATATTTACAGGCTCTCTGGCAGGTGCTTAAAACACTTTTTAAATGTAGAGAAAATAGTTATAGTTTCAGTGTTTTCTGATAATTCTAGTTTTTGTCTAATTTGGGTTTGTTTTGGTAGATTATTCTCATTATTGGTTGCATTTCCTGCCTCTTTTTTTATGTGTATGAGTGTATTGCCTGCATGTGCGTAAGTATACCTGTGTCATGCAATGGCCGAGGAGGTCAGAAGGTGTTGGATCACCTGGAACTGGAGTTATGGACAGTTGGTAGCTGCCATGTGGGTGCTGGGAATCGAACCTGGGTCCTCTGCAAGAGCAGCCACCGCTCTTAACTGCTGAGCCATCTCTATGGCCCTTCCTGCCTCTTTGTGATCTGACTGTATTCCAGACAATGTGAGTTTTATCTTGTTGGGTGCTAAATATTTTTGTGTTTACTGCACTATGGAATGCAGTAAAGTTCACTGGAAATTGTTTAATCCTCTGGGTCTTGATTTCGTGATTTTATTTAGGAAGGTGCAGAGTAGGGCTAAGCAATGGTTTGGATACTACTGATAATGGAGATAACTTAGTTTTTGCAAGGGGAAGTATGTATGTCAATTAGGAGTTTCACTGAGAAGCTCCAGTCTTGGTTTGGAGGTAGGTACTATATGCTAAATTAAAGTTAAGGCTTCATCTAGGTCTAATGTCTGCATTGTCTATACTAATCTTTACTAATATGACACAATGGTCTATACATTTATATCCTTTTAGGTAATATGAGTTTGATTTGTACTCACCTTGGTGGATAGCATCACTAATCATTTTTTCTTGTTCCTTTAAGAAGAACCTTGTTTGGTCAAAAAGAACAGTGGCATATCTCCAATTAGCAGTGGGGTAAGTACAAAGGCATACAAGTTTTTTTAAGATAGGAGTAGCTGCTGCTTCTAGGAGACAGTATGCTTGGCACTGGGTATCTGAAAAAAAGCATTAAAATCAGTGTTTTTGAAAAGGTTGTGCTCTTTTTAATAAACCAACTGAACAGGTTCCTTCATGGAAACCTGCACCTCTATTCAAATTATTTCATAGATTAAAATCATGAGATTGTGCCAGGCATGGTGGCACACACCTTTATCCCAGCACTTGGGAGGCAGAGGCAGGCGGATCTCTGTGAGTTCAAGGCCAGCTCAGTCTACATAGTGAGTTCCAGGACAGCTGGGGCTACAGGGAGACCCTGTCTCAAAAAGACCAAAAAATAATAATAATAATAATAATGAGATTGTATTGTAACTTATTTAAGGGTATTTGTTCTATGGACTAATACAAACAAAACCTCTCACAAGAGCATATAATTATATGCCTATCTTACTTATTAGAAAGGATTTACATAGTAACTAATTTAACAGGAAAAGTGTAAAGAGACATAACCATGTATTGCGTCTTTTCCTCCCTCCATTATTAGCTTACAAACTTTAGCCCAAAGTGTAACAATGACAAATTAGTTCTAGTTTTTTTCTGACTACCATTAAAGATTTCCATGATTCAGAAACCATAAATAAAATGAACCAAAAGAATCCAAAGATGTTTGAGAACTAGTGTCATTCTTCCTTGCTGATTTTAATAATGAGCATAATATACTTTAAGGAGGCTGTGCTGTAGGAATAAAACATACTCTTTTAAACAGCAGAATAAAAAAACAACTTCAACACAGGAGTCAACAATAACCTACTTATATCACACACACAGTGGGTAAGAGAACAGATAGAGCAATTATCAGGAACACATTTCCCAAACAGGGATGAACAGTCGAGGAACTCTTATGGTTCTTTCCTCTCATATGACTGCTGGGAAGTAGCTGCATTTTTTTTTTCTGTCTTTTTGAGACAGGGACTCCCTGTAGCCCCAGCTGTCCTAGAACTAGCTATGTAGACCAGGCTGGCCTTGAACTCACAGAGATCTGCCTGCCTCTGCCTCCCAAGTGCTGGGATTAAAGGCATGTGCCACCACACCTGGACTAGTAGCTGCATTTTGAATGAAGGAAGAAACAGCAGTAGGCTGGAGTAGGGCAATGGGGAAAGAACAGAGGCTGTGTACAGGGCGTTCCAGGTTTGGAAATAACTTGAAAAATAGAAATGGAATTGAGAAATGTCTGAAACAATTGAAGAAAAAAAACATGGAAAATAAGGTATGTCCTGGATGTCCAGGAGGGAAGTTTCAAATTAAGTAAAATAGAAGGCTTTTACAAAGCCTGCTGCATACCAGATGCTTGAATTTCAATGATGTCATCTGTTCTCCTTTCTTGATTTATTTTCTCTGGAGTTTTGTTATTAGAAATAATAGGACTTTCTTCTTGATGAGTTACAGAGCATTTTTCTTTATCTTGAAATTCTAATAAAAATATGAATTTTACAATGTTCAGGAGAAACAATGTTGCTTTACTTTAATGCTTTCTTCTAAAATCATAGTTGTTAAGTTTCTTCATGAAAATACATTGGTACTAAGTTAAACAAACTAACCAGTTCAATGGACCTAACACTGCACTGGGTAACAAGGTGAGTGATAAAAATGGCATCAGATCAGGGTTCAATCTCAGTTCTGACAGTAGCTTCAGTTTCCTCATATGTAAGATATGGATTAATAGACCTACTTTAAATACTGTTATAAGGATCAAACACTAAACACAGTTTCTGACACATAAAAGACACATCATTCTACCTCACTACTCTGTGCCTCACCTTCCCTCTGTTCCCAACACTTCTCTCTTCCAAGCCTTCTGGGTCTCCATCCTTTCTTGGGTAGGCTGACTTTTACTACTCACCCTTCAGCTCAGACTGCTTAGACATGATGTCTTATGTAACTGTCCTACCTTGAGGCCAACAAAGCACCCCTCCCTTAATATGCAATTTGGTATTTGATACAGTGTTCAATAAATGTTAGTTTTCATTTTCCTTTCTAGGTATTGTGGAGAATTCTTGTATGTATATGTACAGTTTTTTAACGAAATTCAAAAGTCATCCATCAATAATATGATTGAGAGATGCTTTTAGAACTATATTACCAACCTAAAATATTTTAATACATGAGGGTAAAAGTATGATAATGGAGTAGGACATGGGGAAAATTCCTGTAATCCCAGCACTTGGGAGGCTAAGGTAGGAGGATCACAAATTTGAGGCAAGCCTTGGTTACAGAGAAGCATCTGCTTTACAAAAAGAAAAAAAGGAAAATAACTCAGAGTATAATAATGGAGAATATCCAAACTATAATTATGCTATTTTCAAGTAATGCTTCCAACTAATTATAAGTAATTTGAATAAATGTAGCAAGTAATATTATTAGAATTTTTTTCTAGGTCTTTTTGAGACAGGGTCTCCCTGTAGCCCCAGTTGCCTGGAACTATGTAGACCAGACTGGCCTTGAACTCATAAAGATCCACCTGACTCTGCCTTCCAAGTGCTGGGATTAAAGGCGTGCACTACCACCCCTGGCTAATTATTGGAATTTTTGAGGGACCTAATAAGTCATGACATTTCTTGCTCCTGAATCAGCTGTAAAATAAAGCAAGAAGTAAAATATTACCTTAATTACTAAAAAGGCTAAGTTAGAGAATAGAGCTTAATTTGAGAGTCAAGTGGACTTCATAACTAAATACCAGAATGAGAGTCGCCCACTTAATCTTCACATATGCTGCACTGAGAGAAATACCCACTGGGAAAAAGAGTACTGACATAAGAGAAGCCGAGAATACCTCTTTCTTTTGGGAAGTTCAATTCCATAAACTTACACCCAACTTACTTGTTTTAATCCACAATTTAGACAATCCTTTCTACCCCTCCTGGGGAATATGTATATAGAAACAAAGAGACCAGGAATGTAGCACAGACTGAGAAGATATTAGGAGTGCAGAGGCTTCCCACTTACTATCAATATTCCTTTAATGCTTCAGGTTTTTTTACAAAAAAATTCTTTTTATGCCTTTCACATTCTTGCTGTCACTCATTTTATGATGCTAATATATCCCATTACAAGCTTTTATCACAAGTATAAAAAGCACAAAAAGTATAAAAAGGATGCCAGTGTTAGCATCGAAGTGGATTCCTTCTAATACAGATATTGAATAGAATTTGAAAACATGAACAAATCTGAAAATAGCACACTTATTTTTGAGTGTATCGATGTGTGTGCTGCTGTGGATGTGTTTGTATATTTGCAGGTGCATATGTGTTGTGAGTACACATGTATGTATGTATGTGGAGGCAGAGGACAATGTATGGTGTTGTTCCTCAGGCTTTATGCTTTTTTTTTTTTTTTGAGACATGATCGTTCACTGGTCTGGTAGCCTACTTTACCAAGTACGTAGGCTAGTTGGCCAGCAATTTCAAGGGATATCCCTATCTGTCTCCTCCTCTCTAGTACTGGGATTACAACAGCATGCCACCACACTTGGCTCTTTCAGTTTGCTTGTTTTTGAGGCATGGGCTCTCTGTAGCCCCAGCTGACCTGGGACTTACTACATAGACCAGGCTGGCCTCTATCTCACAGAGATCTGCCTGCCTCTGCCTCTGCCTCACATGGGTTCTGGGGATTGAACTAGGGTCCTCTTGCCAGTAAGGCAAGCATTTTACAGGCTAACCCACCTCCCCAGTCACTTCCTCATTCCTTTACGTAGAAGTTATGTTTGAATTCTGGGGAAAATAATGGTTAGAGTGATCTCAGTTACATATAGAATTGTCTGTCACCTAGCAAAGCAAGTTAGAACATGACTAAAACTATTACATAAAAAGGAACTTTATTGAATATATATAGGCATAAACAATCAAAAAGTTCTAGAATCTCTATATCCTACTCTGCATTTTCACCACATTTTTCACTGTGAAATGCATTGAAATGGTAATATAACTTTCAGCAGATCTATAAAAAGCTTCACACTTTTTTGACAAAGTATATGCAATCACCATGAGATTGAGAACAGAGTCTTGTGCCCATGAACAGTACACAGGGCAGGGTACTAACTATGCTCTAATCAACAAAAGCATTCTTGCATTAATTTTACCAGGGCCACGTCTTTCAAAGCTATTCTATAATGCCTTTTTAAAAAACCAGGAGTGAAATGACATGACATACTATATTACTTTTGATGTGGTTAGAAGCAGGAAATATGTGACAATTACAACTCAAATAGAAACTCTTTGTTGGTATTACAAATTGTAATAAGCAATTAAATAGGCAAAGAAAATCTGTAAGTATATAGTAATGTATGCTAAAATACCAAGAAGGGGCTATAAGTTAATCAAAAAAAGAATGCAGAATGACCAACAAAAGTTAGGAATATTGCCAAGCATGGTGGTGTACACCTTTAATCCCAGGACTTGGGAGGCAGAGGTCTGTGGATCTCTCTGAGTTCAAGGCCAGCCTGGTCTACATAGTGAGTTTCAGGCCAGCTGGGGCTACAGGGAGACCCTGTCTCAAAAAAAGACAAAAAAAGTTAGCAATATTATGGGTTTATACATCCAAGTTGTAGAGAGTAAATTTTATAAATTAAAATAAAAATGTTTTTTAATTCCTAAAAGCATATATTTATATCTGTATCTAACCTATATGTATCTACTTCCAACTCCATTTATACAGAGTATCATGAATTGATGACTTTTTTGACTATGGAAAATAAAACTGACTTCTATAATAAATGATGCACTTGGTCCTACGCCCTGATATCTATGCTAAAGTTTGACTAAATTACCCACCATTGTTTTGGTTATCGTCTGTGAGTTCAGTCTTTGATGTGCAAGTCTTATATTTATTTCTCAGCATAATAAACTCACTCAAAAGGTCCAAATCATTTTGTTTTTTACTGCGTTCAAAATATGCCTTTTCAATACTTGAAAAGGAAGATGATACAACAGATGGTACTGTGTTATCAAGTTCAGTGTGATTTTCTGTATTTTGCATTATTCCATCCACTAGTTCTTGATCATTCTTTGGATTTTCTTCTTCATTTGGATTTTTAACAGAGATACATTCACCAGACAAACACAAATCTGGTACTTCTTTTGCTGAAGATGGATTCCTCTGCAGAGGTGATAGGTTACCATTTGTTAAGTTCTCTTTAACAGGTGTAATAGGCAAGGAACAACTTTTATTCTCTAGCCATGCTGGAAAAAGAAAATAAAAAACACTCAAATTATTTCTATGCCTAAACAGATATCATTTAGGCCTAGTTTTCCATTAACATTTGTGTCCTTAGCAGTAGTTTGTTGACTCTTTTGAAAATCAATTTTTGGTTTCAATAAAATAAACTTTATTGTTTTGTTTGGAGACAGGGTCTCCCTGTAGCCCTGGCTGACTTGGAACTTGAGATGTAGGCCAGGCTGGCCTCAAACTCATAGAGATCTGCTAGCCTCTGCCTTGCGAGTACTAAGACTAAAGGCCTGCACTACCACACCTGGTGGAATTTTTTTTAAAAAAAACTTAAAAAAAAATTTTATCATCTATTTTTCTTAATACTAAGAGTTCCAGTAGCCAGGCAAAGAAGGAATTCCAGAAAAGCCCTATTGCTAATAGTCTTACAATGAGTCACAGCCCCAAGGACTGTACCCAAAATATGTTTTAAAACTCTTGTAACTGAAAAATTTTAAAAGCAACCTAATTTAAAAGTTGGTAAAATATTGATCACACACACACACACACACACATGCACAATTTAGCCAAGTCTGATGTGTTAAATGAAAGAAGCCAGTCACAACAGATCAACATTTTACCATTTTCATTTATAGAGAAGGTCCAGGAAAGGCAACTCTATAGAGACAGACTAGATTAGTGATTCCATAGCTGAGCAAAATAGAAAATGAGTGTGGGTGGATATGGGGTTTCTTTGTGTATGTGGGAGGGCGATTAAGTATTCTAAAAATGGTCTGTGGTGGTGTTTGTACAACTCTGATTTTACTAAGATTCATTGAATGGTATGCTTTAGATTGTATGGTATATTCCAGTACAGTAAATCTGATTTTTTAAAAAGAAGATATATAAAAATGCAGACTGTGCGTATATCAGTTCATATACAGATAATCATGCACTATGTATATTTGTATGAGGGTAGATGCACTTAGGTGCAGGTGCCCAAGGAGGCCAGAGGTGTTGGATCCCTCCAGAGCTGGAGTTAAACAGATAATTGTGAGCTGCCTGACACATGTTCTGGGAACATGTGTGATCCTCTGCAAGAGCACTATGTGCTCTTAACTGCTGAGCCATCTCTCCAGCCCCAAGTTACTCCTTCTTTAACTTCAGAATTTATGCTACCAGAATAATTCTACTGTATGTCAAAGTGAATATGATTTATTTTAACCTCAAATTTGCTAATTTAAGGCTTTATGTAGTTTTATAGATTTATAGTACATTATCTAGACATTGAAGACCCATAAACCACACCCTGCTTTCTTCTAGGTAATCTGTCGCAATCTCTTAAAATTCTATTCCACCATGACTAACCTTCTAGGACTGGAGTGAACTCATGCATATTTGCAGTTTGTCTGTTTTCTTTCCTACCAAAAGCAATCTGTGCCTTCAGAGTTCAAAACATGCCTTGCTGAGAAAGATTCTCATTCCAATTCCTTATCTCCTTGGACTAGTCCCCAAATAATAGCAACTTCTAAAATTTACTTTTAAATATATCTATTTTTCAATATCAAGCTAATATAAACTAAATACAAACATCCCCAAGTCCTTTAAAATTGTAATTTGCTACTAATCAGGAACTGATTTTCAGAAGGATAAAAAATATTTCAAAAGGGGTATAATTCATACCAATTATGTTCCATTTACTATATCAACAAAACTAACAATACCTAGATACTTGGAAGACATTTCTGCTTTCTTAAATTGTATAAAATGATAAATTACTAAATGTTTTAGCAACAAATAAAGATTTCTTATTGTTGGGAGAGAGCTTACTAGATATTACTGAATGCCAAAGGTTAACAGTCAATGAAAATGAAATTACTAAGAAATGCTGGTTTGTACCTAGGCCACTACTACAGAAACTGTGCCAGCGCTTATTTATATAAGGAAACAAAGTCACATTAAATAAAAATGACTAGAGATTTTAAAACTGAGACTATAGAATTTTAGGGAAGAATATGATTTTAGGCTTAGCAAATCAAACTTCCATATTTTTTTTCCAAAGGAAATGGAGCCCAGAAAAGTCAAAAGTCATAAGTCATAAATTCTGGCAGAATCAAGCCAATACTGAATGTTAGACCTTAGTTAATATTTTCCTAATCATTGAGAAGAAACTCATGTGAAACATTTTCTCATTATGAACATGTTCACAAACGTATTTACTATTACATACTTACATGCTAACTGAATCACTTTTGTGGGCAAAAATATCTCTAGTTTAGTCTCATTAGGAAACAGACCATTATGACACAAATACGCCTTCAGATGCTCCAATGCTTCTAACATTATTGGGCTTAGTCTTGTTTGTTTCCACCACTTTGCTTTTATAGGATTAATCACAGTGCTGTTTCTTTTGATGGAAAAGATAGTCCTCATATCTGTAAGTGAATACTGACTGCTGGGCTCTTGCAACCATGGCACTTAAAAGAAAAAATAAAGGCAGGGAAAAATAAATAACACAATAAACTGATTCACACTGGAGCTTTTTCAATGAAATATTTTTATATACTAGAAAAAGGCTGAAACTTAAAGCTATATCTGACATTTTATTTTTCAAATTATTAATATTTGTGAAAGTCCATGTCTCTATAACAATAGGAGTCACACAAATATTTTTTTTTTCCTTTTTGAGACAGGATTTCATTGTGGTCCAGGTTGGCCCTGAACTTGCTATGTAGCTGACAATGACCTTGAACTATTGATATTCCTGCCTCTACCTCCAGCATGCTGGAATTACAGATGTGTGTTACCACATGTAGTGCTGGAGAACAAACAAAGGACTTCACACATGCTAGGCAAGTACTAGGGTATATCCCTGGTCCCAAGAATTTGTTCAACATTTGGAAATATCAAGAAGTTAAAATTATTCTATATTTAGTGGAAAAGAAACCTATTTGACCATTTAAAATTACTAAATTTATATACTTTATAAATTTTGGAAGAACAAAAGATTTATTAAATCATAAATTCTAATTCATTATAATGAGCCTACACAAGACATGTTAGTTCAGATTTTAAGATGAATGTCATCTTAGATACTGTGGTACAGAGCTTATTACTTCAGTACTTTTTAGTCTAAATCAAAATAATTACAGAAAAAATGAAGTAGCACAAACAATATTACTATCTGCATTATAAACATCCTCTCCAAATTAGGACTATACAATTTGAAATCTTAATTTTGGAATTGTGCTTGTTTTTATATCAGTAATAATAACTAAAGCAGACAAGTCCCAATGTTAATACTAGTAATTACTGACTACTAAAACCATCTGACATTGTAGTCTATACACCTTATTCCTAAGCAATCCCTAAAAGAATCCTATGAAATAGATACGCTTTTACTAGCTTTATTGAGGTATGACTGATATGCAACAAGCATAATACATTTAGAAAAAGTTTTACTCATTCACTTATGGATATACTCATTAATTCATGACTACCGACAGAAAAATAAACATGTATATAATCTGCCAGTGTTCCTCATGTCTCCTTATAATACTACCTTTTCAAACCTCTCATTTTCTCACCCATCCCATGGTTCTTCTTCCTGCCAATGTAGATTAGACTGCACTTTTTCATTTTTTCAGAAGCGTATGTAAATGGGCTAATACTGTATGAATTCTTTTTGCCTGGCTTCTTTCATTTAGCATTACTTTGAGAATCATGCATGTTATATGTATCAATAGTCCATTATTTTCTAAAAGATGGAAATAAAGATTCACATGTAATTATAAGAAATAATGTAGAGGTCTCTTATATACTCTGCCTGTTTCCTCTGATAACATTTTGGAAAATTAGAGTATAATAGCATGACTAGGATAACAACACTGTAGCAGTCCATCAATCCTGTCTCTGTTTTACCTGTTCATGGTGTGTGTGTGTGTGTGTGTGTGTGTGTGTGTGTGTGTGTGTGCTAGCACATATATTATTTTATCCCTGATGTAGATTTGCGCATCCCTCATCATACTTGATACAATGAACAGTTCTAATACCGCAGGATCCTTCTACTTGCTTTCAGATACCTACATCCATCTACCTTCCAGTCACTACTCCCTGAAACTGACTAGTCAGTTTTCTATATTTAAAATTCTTGTTTCAGAAATTTATAAATAGAGTAATATTTTTATTACCTGATAGTATTCTATTTTATAGATACGTCACAATTTGTTGATCCTTTCAGTTTTTTGTGGACATGTGAAATGTCTCCAGGTTTTTTTTTTTTTTTTTGACAGTACTGGAGATTAAAGCCTGTGCATGCTAGGCAAGTACTCTACCACTGAGCTACACCCCCATCCTGTTTCTAGTTTTCAGCTCCTATAAATAAAGCTGCTATGATCATTCATGTATGCCTTTGTAGAGACATACACTTTTAGAAAATAGGCATTATTGTTATTTCCATTATTCAAGGAGATAGAAGAATTTAATCAACTCAAAATTATTTTATTAAATTACAAGTGAATTTTGTTAAAAGGTTTTAAACCATTCTTGGAAGACTTAAAAACTGAAAAACTTTTATATTACTTTTCATTTATATACTGCCTGGCTTTTAGTTTTTTTCCACATATAAGAATTATCAGAAAATCAGTAAGACCAAAATCTCTCATATATTCCTGAACTTATTTAAGGAACTTCTGGAAAATAACTGAACTTGGTGCTTAGTTATATAATTTGTGTTAAGAAATGGTCAAAGAAAAATATTCCACATTTGCACTTACTGTGTGTTTTCACCTATCATTCTATCTACAATCAGCAATAATCACTCTATACCTGTAAGTGAAAATGAGACCCAAGAGTTTCTACAGCTTCCCAGTCGCCACAACATACAATATTTAGTAGCTGATTGTCCAGCAGAAAGCAAACTACTGTAAAAGAAGAATTAAAGTTTAATACATTAATATTGAATGTTTTTATATAACAAAACCTTGTTTTTAAGAGTACTTTTCTAAGTACTTTTAAATTTTTCTATTTTTACACGTAAATGCAAATGAAAAGTAACCCTATTTTATGAATTTATAAACTGAAGTAGAGTTGCATAAACCAAGTTTCTAATTACTCTTTCCTTCTCTAGAAGATTTAGTGTAGCCAGAAAATTACTCATTCCTCCAAAAAGAGTGGGTGACACGGGCCACCCTGGGAAAAGGGGTGGAGCCATGGCCATATTGGAACTCAGAGTGAAGTGGTGAACAGCAGGGATCCTGTGGGGCAAAAGCTGATGGAGACTACCAGCAGGGCTTGAATGGCATGTGGGTTATGAGAAGCCGCTTCTTTGTAAATCAATCACAAATAGGATGTCAACCTGGGGCCTCAGAGGGCGCTAGTGGGAGTCTCCCAAGAAGGGGGAGGGGAAAAATTTAATGAAACATTTGGTTATTAAGAAGCTCCTTAATTAGACCTGCTTGCCTATAAATTATAATGACCAATCTTTATTGTTAATGGGATTGGAGTTAGAACCATCTAGGAGATTGGTGAGGCATGGCCATGAGTGTGTATGTGACAGCATTACCATGAACTGACAAGGGAGTGTGGTAGCACTGTCCCATGGGTTGAGGGGGGGGTCCCTGACAAAATAAAAGGGGATTAAGGAGAAAGCAAGTGAGCATGGACATTCCTTCTCTCTGCCTCCTTGTCTACTACAAAGTGAACAGCAGTCCTCTGCCTGCCAAGCACATGAAGCCAAGCAACTTTGAACCAAATCTTCTGAAACCATGAGCCAAAATAAATCCTTCCTCATTTGTTATTTTTCTGTCAGATATTTCATCACAACAATGAGAAATATAACTAATACAGAAATTGGTTACTGGTGGCTGCTTTTGGCCAGGTTTACAGTGAGAACTGGGATCAAACAAGGAGTAATCAAGTGGGTACTAACTTCAAAGCTTCATTTCTACTGACTAACTTTCATAGTGCTGGTAAGTACTATGCATGCTACTGAAGAAAAATTAATCATTGCAGAAGAGAGGGCAGAAAGATTGTAAGAGTCAGAGGTGGTGGATGGCCAAAGGAAACAGAATTTTACCAGACAGCTAGCAAGTTACTCATATGAATTCACAGCAATGCTGACAGCATGCATAAGTACCATGTAAGCTCCAGCCAGACAAAATTCCCTCATAGATGTGGGTAAGAAACACTAATCCTACTTGAGAAACTATTGGAAACCAATGAGTGCTGGGAAGAAGAGATTCAGGTCTCTTTAAGAGTGAAACTCATGGTAGGTTACTAAGGCTCCAGTGGATGGATCCACACTGAAGGGCATTTTGGGGACACAAATTTGACTCTATAGTCCTTAATACATACATATAAATATGTATATTAGAGTACATAAAATTGTGCCAGGGATGGGTTGAAGGGAGATGCAAACAGAGGAGAGGATCTAAACACAATAAAAATATATTGTATGAAGTTTGCAAAAATTTAATAAAAAAGGAAAAAAATAATAAAGCCTGAGAACACACACACACACACACACACACACACACAAAAGCGAGATAGAATTTTGGAATTATACAGTCTAGCCAGAAAGGCTGAAATTACTAGAGAATGAGGGTGTGGTTATTAAAGAGATTAGTTTTGCTAAGGAGAAGCTAAGTACTTCGCACTGGAACAAGAAGAAAGATACTTGAGGGCATTTCAAGAATTGGCTAAACTCCAAACATTACAGGCTCTAATTGTATAAAACAGTAAACTCATTTGAATAGACTTTCCTTTGGGAGGAGAGAATAATGGGGCACTTTGCTCCAATAGGGCTGTTAAGGGAAATGTTTTCCTTCATTCCATTGTGCAGTCACTTAGATATTGCTATAGCCATGGTCCAAGGGGGCCTGAGTACTGCTTGAAATGGCATATCTTTGGCATCATCCATATGATGTTGGTTTTTCAAGCATATAGAATCTAAGAGCTATGGGATTATAGAGGCCTCACTTTAGATTTTAACGTCTGTTTAATTTTATGTGTGTATTTTGTTTGCATGTAACTATACCATGAGTGTGCAATGCCTGTGGAGACTATAAGATGGTACTGGATCCCTGGAACTGGAGTTACACAGTTGTTGTTACCATATGGGTGCTGGGAACTGAACTCAGGTCTCAAACTCATGATCCTCCTGCTTAGTATCCCAAGTGCTGGGATTATAGTTATAAACCCTCATATCTGATTTTAAATCCATTTTAAAAATGGAAATTTAAAGTTTTTTAGTCATAAGCTAAATGGAAGTGGCTTATTCTTTGTAGTGAATGAAGTGGTGATGATGTTTCAAATAGCTCTATAGCTATTAAACTATTTAAAAAGCTTTTTTGAGGGGCTGGGTTTGGTGGCACACACCTTTAATCCCCAATTTTTTTTTTTAGTTTTTTTTGTTTTTGTTTTTGTTTGTTTGTTTCGTTGGTTTTTTTCTTTTCATGTTTTTGAGACAGGGTCTCCCTTTAGTCCCAGCTGACCTGGAACTTGCTATGTAGACCCGGCTGGCCTTCAGCTCACAGAGATCTGCCTGCCTCTGCCTAGTTTTTTTGTTTTAATTTCGCCAAACCTTAATGCATCAAGTAAGACCTATTTTTAAAAATTCTCTTTACATATTTGAGTTACAACAATAAACAGAAATATAGCCTGTGTGATTAAAGAGTTGCTACAGTTAATATTTGAATACTAATTAAATTTGAAATTATATTGATTTATACTTGTTTCTGTTTCTAATATATTTCTGTTGCCAATCTGCCTTATCAGACAGATTAGGGTACAGAGTAAGTAAGACAGTGAAGAGCCTAATAAAGACTAACTTATGTCTGCAAACAAACAACTTTGACCTTATCAAAGGACTAAAGGTATTTATGCAAGTTACACATAATTTGCATGCTTATCCCATGCTATTTTAGTGCTCATACATGATATGGACAGTCCTAGTTCATGACAGGGTTCTATATAACATGAATTCACTCCACAAATGCAAATAATTCTTAAAAAAACAGAAAATTAATACTTGGGGCATTCAATATTGGCTCCTCTATTTAGCAGTTTGGCACCATATAGACCATTTAAGATTCCTAAGGAGCCAGCGACGAGTTCTAGGTCTCTGACTCCAATTTCTTCCAGTTCAAGAACAGTTTCCTCTAGAAGAGGAAGACTTAAACCCATTGTGTATTTCTACCAGTTGATTATAGTCTTATATTTTTTCATGCAAACTCTCGGAAATTGCTTTTATATGGAGAAATTTCACAACAAAAAACTGCTTGTTCTGAATTACAGCTTAGGTTCTAGATATAATCTTTACTTACATTTTACACACAGCAGAAGATGGAAATGTCTGAAGTCCTGTGTACAATGAATTCACTGAACAATGTGACCTTGGTAAGCTTAGATGAGTTAGTGGCATTTCTAATTCTCCTGGAATACATGAAAATTAAACAGCTATATCATATTGTATAAAGTAAAATTTAGAACTTTGTAATTATTATGTTTGATCATTCTCTTGCAACAAAGTATTTCAATAAGAAATTTGGGAGATAGCTCAGTTTCTAAGTGCTTGCCACACAAACATGAGGACCCAAGTTCAATTCCAGCACCCATGTAAAAAAGCCAAGCTTGGTGGCATGTTTGAAATTCCAGCACTGGGGAGGTAGAGATAAGAGGATTCCTGGGGTTTACTGGCCAGTCAGTCCAGCCTAATCAGTGAGCTCAAGGTCCTGGTGGGAGATCCTATCTCAAAAAGCAGGACCGGGACAAAGCTTGAGGTTGACTTCTGGCCTCTACTCACACATATGTGCACACAAACACAGACACACAACACAGGACACTTAGATTTCTTGATATACAAAATAAAAGTCCTAAATTTCCATCTACATAAGGGATTACATACTTATCAAATGATTATTACAAACTGACCAATCATGATAGTGATTTTTTAAAAAGAAATATATTGACATAAACTTTAGTGAGTTTAGTTATGTAAGATACAGTCTAAGAGCTTTATGTATAAGAACAGTTTTCATTCTGACAACCTATGTTGTCAGTACTTACGAGATAGTACTATTTTTATCTCTATAGTAAATATTGGTGATGTTAAGGAAATAGTGTTATGAAAATTAATTCTTCACTTTAATGAGTTAGGGCTCCAGAGGTCCTAGCACAGAGTTATAAATTAATAGAATGAGCCTGAGAAATAGAACTTCATGTATTGATAAGTAATGTAGTATGAAAGGTCCTAGCACAGAGTTATAAATTAATAGAATGAGCCTGAGAAATAGAACTTCATGTATTGATAAGTAATGTAGTATGAATCAATAAACTTCCAAAATAGATTACAAATATGATCTAAGCATAAATATAACTAAACAACAGTCTCATCAATATGGTTTCAAAAACAATACACTTGGAACTGGAAAGATGGCTCAGCAGTTAAGAACCCTGGCTGATCTTGCAGAGGACCAAGGCACAATACCCAGCACCCACATGGTGATTAACAATCAATAATAACTCCGGTTCCAAGGGGTATGATGCCCTCTTCTAGCTTCTGCGGGCACTGCACTCACATAGTGCATTTACACACATGCAGGCAAAACACTCATACTCATAAAATAAAATTAAATTAAGAACATTTTAAAACACACTTTGGCATTTGTTCTGGAAGAAAACATAATTCAGAGTTTCCAAATTTGACATGACAATAACATAACAGTGATAGAGCAAAGAATGATAGGACTGTTCTGAGAGATTAAAAATTAAACTTAAAAAATATATAACAGGGCTGGCAAGATGATCAGCTGGGGAAGGCACTTGTCACCAAAGCTGATGACCTGAGTTCCATCTCAGGAACCCACAGAGTGGAAGAAGAGAATAGATTCTTGCAAGTTGTCCTCTGACCTCTAGATGGGTACTGTGGCACCTGTGCATCTACATCTACATACATACATACATACATACATACATACATACATACACACATAAAATACAAAATCTTAAAATATAGCTCAGTAAATAAAACTTTATATTTTATTTCAGTCTTGTTGATCTTTGTTCCACCTTAAAAAACTTTTAATTAATTTAAATTTGTGTGTGTGTGTGTGTGTGTGTGTGTGTCTGTGTGTGTATGCTCCAGTTGTCTTACGCAGTGGCTCTCCACCAAAGTTTTGAGACAGGGTCTGTCACTGAACTTGGAGCTCTCCACTTTGGCTGCACTGGCTGCTGGAGATTGCACTTGGGTCCTCATGCTTGAGTGGCAAACATTTTACTGAGCCATGTCTTAAGCCCCTGGATTTGTATTTTTAAAATCAGTACTATTTCCTCTATTCATTTTCTCCAATATTTGTAACTCTCTTCTATATACTTTCATTTTTGTTGCTGATTAGATTCTGGAGGGTAAATATAAAGGGGACGAAAAGAGAAAAAGATGACCACTTGGATTATAATAATCACATCTTTAAATATGTAAACTGATTCATAGTAGACTGTAAATTTTTTGTACCTCTACATCATATATATGTAACCCTTGATACATCAATGACACACACACACGCACACACACACACACACACACGCACACGCGCGCGCACACACACACATGCACACACACACACAAACGCGTGCGCAAATCAATGACTTATTCAAAATTTCTACCTGGCTCTCTGTCTTCTGGTTTACTCTGGCTTTCAGCAGTCAAAATTAGTGTGGAGCTGTATTTTGTATCCTCAGTATCAATTCCATGCTTGGTAGTAAGATCTGAAAGGAAACAGAAGAAATCTTACCAACAACAGTACCATTAAATTTATGTTTTCTAGCACTATTCTGTGGCTTTTTCCTTTATTGCTTTATTCTCATTTTTTTCTCTTAGAGAAAACTGGATACTCTTTTTTTCTTTTCTCTTTCTCCTTCCTTTCTTCCTCCTTTCCTTTCTTCTCTTTCTCTTTCTCTCTCTTTCTCTTTCTTTCTTCTTTCTTTCTTTCTTTCTTTCTTTCTTTCTTTCTTTCTTTCTTTCTTTCTTCTTGATAGGGTCTCTCGCTATCTAGCCCTGGCCTGGAGCATACCATGTAGATCAGGCTGGCCTTGAACCCACAGAGATCCACTTGCCTCTACTTTCCAACTGCTGGAGAACTGTATATTCTTAAGACAATGCTAACTTAATAGGTGGACAACTTATTCCCCTATGCACACTCCCTCTTATTCTGCATCTGCCAATCAAAATTACCAAAGAAATGTAAAAATACAAAAATCTACATGTTTGGAAGCTATGCTAGTGTAAGTAATTCATATGTTATAAACACCAAAGAAAGTGAACACTTCAAAAAGTTATCTTCATCAATATATGTAACTTTCTAAGATTTATTTAGCTGGAACTCTACTTGTGGTTCTAGAGATTAAAATCAAAGCCTTGTGCATGCTTGGCCACTATCACTGAGCTATACCTACTAGCATTTGTCTATGTTAATAGTGTTGTTTTTTCTTTTTCTCCAGCTGTCCAACATATTTTGCCTCTCTTATAAATACATTTCCGTATGTGCATGTCTGTGTGCACATGTACACATGTGAGTATGTGGAGGCTAGAGGTCAAAGTTGGGTATCTTTCTCCATTGTTCTCCACTTTACTTTTTCAGGTAGGGTCTATCATTGAACTTGGAGCTCAATGATTTGATTTGGCTAGACTATCCAGCAAGTCCCAGGGATTCTCCTGCCTCTGCTTCCAGCACTCAGATTACAGGTATGTACAACCATGCTCTGTGCTTGGCTTTTAGTGGGTGCTGGGGGGGGGGAATCAGGTCTTCATGTTTGCTTGGCAAGCACTTTAGTGCCCTCTCCCTAGCCCTATTCTTTTTTAACTTTCTTTCCTTTCTTTCCCTTCCTTCTTTCCTTCCTTCCCTTCTCTCTCTCTCTCTTTCCCTCCCTCCCTCCCTCCCTTTCTTTTTTTTTTTTTTTTGGTCTTTTTGAAACAGAGTCTTCTCTGTAGCCCTGGCTGGTCTGGAACTCACTATGTAGACCAGGTTGGCCTTGAACTCACAGAGATCCACCTGCATCTGCCTCCCAAGTGCTGGAACTACAGGTGTGCACCACCACGCCCAGCCCTTCTTTTTAACTTTCACCATATTTCTTTTCTAAGAAACAACTCTTGTAAATAGCATACGTTAATTCCTTGAATATAACACATAGTTTTTCATATTTTGTTTATGGAATTTTGGTAACGTGATACATTTATTTAGCTATAAATAAAAACAAAATCATGACAATTTCAGAAAAATAAGAGAAACCAAAAATTATCTTAAGTATTTCAGATTCAGAATGATAAGTACTACGTTTTTCTCTCATATGCAGACCCTGGATTTTAATTTTTATATGTGTGTATATGTGTTGGGGAAGGTATAATTCATAAAACTAGAAAGGGAAAAGTAGTATTGAAGTAAGGTTAGAGGAGGGAAAGAAGAAACAAAAGGGTAACAGAATTAATGTGACATGAAAGCACAAGAGGAAGGAATGAGACTAGCCAGAGTGGAACAAAGGATTGGAGGAAAGGAGTGAGGGAGGAAGACCAGCAAAAAAGTACATATAAAATCCTATAATGAAACCTCCTACTCTGTATACTAATTACATTTAAAACTAATAAGAAAATATATCCAGACACAAATATTGTATATAAATGTTCATAGCAGGTTTATTTGTAACAGCTAAAGGGTACAAACAACCCAAATATCAATCAACTGATGAATGGTTAAATAAAATGTGAGAAAACATCTCTACAGGAGAATATTGTTTAGCTATAAAAAATCAGTGAAGTACTGATACATGCTATAGCATAAATAAGCTTAAAATATTATGGCAAGTTAAAGAGGCCAGCCACAGAAAGACCACATACTGTATGACTATATTTTCACTGAATGTACAGAAAAGACCTAAAGAATAGGATTTTGTGGACTGGAAATGCAGTGCAGTGTAGAGCACTTGCCTAGCATGCTAAGGCCCTGGGTTCAAACTCCAATACTGGAAAAAAATGATCATGGGAAATAAATCATAACGGTAATAATTCTGAGATCTCAACGTGTAACCTGTAGAACTTTTTTTTTGGTGTTTTTGAGACAGGGTCTCCCTGTAGTCCCAGCTGGACCTATAGAACATTCTTATAAAATAATAAGAACTAGGCTAGTGAGCATGTGATTTTTAAAAAAATACATTTCTAAATTATTCTCACCTCTTTTAAAAACTTTTTCATTTTCAACTATATAATTTATTACTTCTGGCATTGGATTTAATGACTCCTTCAACTCTGAGGATGATATAATAGTAATTTCTTGTTCAGGGTTTGTAGATACTAAGAAGTCAGACCCATAAGGAAAAACTGATGGCTGAAATAATATAAAATTAAAAGAATCTTAAGGAAGTTTTCTAGCAAATATTTTTAATTCATAAATGATATGTTTACTTAAATAGCATACTAAATTTTAAACTAAGTACATTCTGTTTTTAAATGCTATACTTTAAAAATAGGACTATACAAGTCAAAATTATTACAAGAAATGTTTTCATTTAGTACTATCTTGTATGATCACTCATTACCTTATAGATGCACAATCTCTCTAGATGTGCAAATATCTTCTTTTTTGCTAATAATAAAATCCTAAATTAAAAGCAATTAACCATAATAAATGAGAGACAAAGTGGAAAAACTGAACAGATATGATGGAATGGAATCATTTTTACTGTACCCCACTGAATATATTTTTCTTTCAGTACCACAGAACAGCATTCCTCAACAAATGAGACTATGTGCACCACTCAGTATTAACAAGGGAAGGAAAAGGGGACTAGAGCAAATAAGCCAAAAAGTGAATTAACGTTTTTACCAACTTTTCAAAATTTTACCTGTACAGAAACCTTTAGGTCCCTTAAGTGCATCATGTATATGTCCTCTGAATGTATTAAGAAAAGCCCCCAATATAAAATATCTTTGTTCTCTACAAAACATAATTTTTAAAGCAATTTAGTGAATGTATGTACTCTGGTATGGGCCTATACTTTAGTGCATAAGTGCAATTTGCTGTCTCTACTGTGATTATTTATACACTGGTGTGATAATTTTGTGAGATATTGGAATTATGTGATGAAAAGTGCTATTTTAGTGGACTTTGACCTTTTTAAAATAATATTTCTACTGATTCTTTGAGAATTTCATACAATGTATTTTGAGCATATTTAGATCCCCTTCCGCATCTCAGATCTACCCCTACCCTGTCCTCTATTATTCTACTGTGATTATTTATACACTGGTGTGATAATTTTGTGAGATATTGGAATTGTGTGATGAAAAGTGCTATTTTTGTGGACTTTGACCTTTTTATAATAATATTTCTACTGATTCTTTGAGAATTTCATACAATGTATTTTGAGCATATTTAGATCCCCTTCCGCATCTCAGATCTACCCCTACCCTGTCCTCTATTATTTTCTATTTTATTTTTTTTGTATATAAATTATTAACAGAAAAGGCCTACAAACTCGTTTCCTCTTGGAAACACCCAAGGTATAACCCTGGCAGCCAGTGGTCTTGGCATACTGTCCTCAGACACGAAGGTCCCAGGAGTGGCATTGTCCCAAGTGAGTTCTAATCTTCTTCAGTCATTCTAGGTCCTCTCAGAGCTTGTTGTCTAGACCGCTGACCAGAACCTGGCTGTATTTTCCATCCTTTACATCCTTCTGCCTCTTCAAGAACCAGTCTAGGATCTTGTATCAGCAAGGATTCTGCATGACGGTGATCACACGTTCTGCCTCATCCTTGATGAGTTCTCCAGCCTTGGTGAGGTCAGTGTCTGCTTTCCTCACCACCACATGAGCATATCTTCACCCCACACCCTTAATGGTAGTGATGGCAAAGGCTATTTTCCTCTGCCCATTGCTGTTGGTGTTGAATACTCACAAAATGTGTTGGAACTTCTCAGTGATCACTCTAGACAAGGCAGTGGCAGAAGAAGCAGTGTGTAGGCCTCCTCTGGAAGCCCTATTATTTTTTTATATATTCTTATTTGTATGCATTTTGACTGCATGTAAGTGCACCCATGGGTGTAATGCCTGTGGAGAACAGAAGAGGGCATCAGATCCTCTGGAACTGGACTGAGAGTTGCTCGCTGCCATGTGGGTACTGGGAACCAAATCTGGGTCCTCTGCAAGGGCAGTGATCTTAAACATTGAGCCATCTCTCCAACTACCTCTTTTATTTATTAAGACCTATTGAGTCTAGTTTGTGTTCCCCAGGTGCTCTGGGGTGTGGATTCATCTCCTGGAGCCTGGTCATACCTTTAAAGCTGACTCTCTTTTTCCCAGCAACTATCAATTGCCTATAGTTCCTTAGTTAGTGCTGAGGCTTCTTTCCCATCTGCCCCCTCCATGTTGGGTTTTTGTCTAGCTTGGGCTTGCACAAGTCTTGTGTATTGTCACACTGTGGGTTCATACATGCAGCTGCCCTAGTGTGTCTGGAAAACACAGTTTTATTATTTTCATCCACCACCTCTGGCTTTTAAGAGTCTTTCTGCCCCCACTTCTGTAATGATCCCTGAATCTTGGAAGGAAAGAGTATGATATAGGTATCCCCTTTAAGGCAAAACACTCTATAGTCTTATTGTCTGCACGATAACCAGTTTTTGAGCCTCTGTCTTAACTGCTATCTGCTTCATGAGGAAGCTTCTCTTGTGAGAGTGAAGAGATTCACTAATCTGTAACAGTAAGTCATTAGGCTTAATACTATGTCCATTTAGCAGAATATTAGCAGTAGGTTTTCCCCTATGGCCTATAACCTGTCTACCCACAAGTTCTTGACCCTAAGAGTTTGACCTTTAGTATGCAAAGATGTTATCTTTTTTATTAGACATTAGAAGCACCTAAAATTTATTAGAAATTTTCTATTCTTACTTCCTTAGATCACTTGTCATACAGCTCAAGTACTACCTTTTTTTGTTTATCTCTTCTTGTCTACTCTTTCTGAATGTTGTTTCTTCTTGGTTTTCCAAAGCCTTCAGGTGCATGATTAAGTTATTAATATGAAAGGTCTTTAATTTTCTGATGTAGGCACTTAGTGCTGCTATACACTTTCCTCTTAGGAATGCCTTGTGTCCATAGATTTTGGTATATTTTGTTTCCACTTACATTCAATTCTGGTTCTTTAAATTTTTCTTTCTTGATTTCTCCCTTACCCAATTTTCATTTAATACTGTGTTTTTTACTTTCCATGAATATGCATACTTTCTGTAGTTTCTGTTGCCACTGACATCCAGCTTTATTCCTTTGTTGAACTGAATGCTGGATCTTATTTCAACTTTTCTGTATTTGTTGAGACTTGCTTTGTGTCCTAATATGTAGTCAATTTTAGAGAAAACCCTAGGGGCTGCTGAGAACAAAGTGTATTTTTTAGTATTTGGGTGGAATTTTCTGTGGATGTCTGTTAGATCCCTTTTCTTTATTATGTCATTTAATTCCATAATTTCTCTGTTTAGTTTTTGTCTGGATGATCTGTCTATTGGTGAGAGTAGGGCACTGAAGTCACCCACTATCACTGCGTTGGGATCAATCTGTGGCTTTAAGTCTACTAATGTTGCTCTTGTGAAGTTGGGTGCCCCTGTGTTTGGTGAATAAATACTTAGAATGATAATATCCTCTCAGGGGATTTTCCCTTTAATGACTATGAAGTTACTTTATCTTTTCTGAGTAGTTTTGATTTGAAGTCTATTTTGTCAGATATTAGAATAGCTATACCTGCTTTCTTGGTTCCATACCTTTTTCCATTTTTGCCCTAAGGTGATACCTATCTTTGATGGTGAAACATGTTTTTTAGAGGCTGCAAAGAGTGTTCTTGTTTTCTAATCAGTTAATCTGGGTTTTTTATTGGGGAATTGAGATCATTCATATTGAGTTATTATTGAACAATGTTTACTAATTCCTCTTATTTTGTTGTGATGATGTTATTTTCTTTTGAAAAACAGTTCTGAAATTGTTTATTCCATGTGCTTTCTTGGGTGTGTTTAACCTCTTCAGACTAATGTATTGAAGTATGCTCTGTAGAGCTGGTTTAATGGTCATAAATTCCTTAAATCTGTTTTTATCATGGAATGTTTTTCTTTCTCCTATTATGACTAATAGTTTTGCTAGGTATAATAGCTTGGGCTCGTATCTGTGGTCCTTAAGAACTTGTACACCATCAGTCCATGCCCTCCTGGCTGTCAAAGTTTCCACTGAAAAGTCAGGTGTTATTCTTATTTCATCTTTCTTACAGATTTCATTATCTTTTCTTTGTACTGTACATTTAGTGCTTAATCATGTGATGTGGGAGTTTCTTTTCTGGACCTATCTACTTAGTGTTCTTTATGCCTCTCCTTTAGATTTGGAAATTTTTCTATGATTTTGTTGGAAACATTTTCTGTCCCTTGGACTTGGGTTTCTTCTATGCTTATGATTCAGACCTTTGGTCTTTCTGTAGTGTTCCCAGAGTTCCTGCATGCTCCATTCCTGGGTTTTTTAGACTTAAATTTTGACTGAGCAATACAATTCCTCTACCTTGTCTTCAAGGCTTGGTATTCTTTCTTCCACTTGATTGCTCTTCCACTATTGATGGCCCTTTCCAAAGAAGATTTTTTTTGTTTTAATTTCACTGATTTACTTTCTCATTTCAAGTTTTTATTTCTTTATTAAATTCTATTTTCATATCTTGGATTATTTATTTTGTTCATCTGTGTTTTCAGTTTTTTTCATCTGGAATTTATGTATGTCCTTTTTTATTTCCTTGAACATATTTACAATTGCTATTTGGAAATCATTGTTTTGTGTATCAACTAAGTTACTCTTCTCAGGGTGCATTGCAGTGGGTGCACTTATTTCTGGAGGAAACCTATTGTCTTGGTTATTCATGCTGTTTATGTTTTTGTGATAGAACCTAGGTATCTGGAGTTAGGTGGTTGTTGGTTTTCTTAGTATAGATATCTAGTCTCATCTTTGTTGAGTGGGTATTTGATCTTTGTATGCTATTACCTAAACTTATTAGGTTGTAGACCAGCTGAATGGTGCTTGGTGTTTGGTCTTGGAGTAACTTTCTGTTGATGTGAGAATGGGGTGTCAAATGTGTTCCCAGCACAACTGGGAATATTTCTGAGCCCAGAAGCAAACCTTATGTAGGGTTTCAAGATTCTTATTGCCAATCTTAAGAAGTCTGAGGAAAGTTCACTTAATTCTATAGGTTGTCTTGGGTAACAAGGGCTAGAGTTACAGTGGAAATGAGCCAGCTTCCATGGGGGCTGAGGGAAGGATGTCACACTGACCTCAAGTGGAAGTGCATGAGGTAGAGGCCAGGCTAGTGGTCTCTATCTAGGTTCAAGGTCACAGGACACCTGGAATTTCCTAGGCTGTGTGGTGGTGGGTTGGGTGGTTGGCTGGGGGAGGTGGAGACTGGCTATGGCAGAGGCCACCTGGCAGGGGATAGGCTCTGGGGTGCCTATCTGGGGCTGGGGGTTGCAGAGAACTATGCACATGGTCCCTGTGGTGGCAGCAAGGAGGAAAGGACTGCTGTCTGGGTTCTGGGCTCTGGGGCCGCCTACCTATTTATGTGTAAAGTTTCATAGTTCATGGGGGGCCATGCATGTGGTCCTGGCAGTGGCATGGACAGCCGAGTCTAAGTGCTATCTTTTAAAAAAAATTTTATTTATTATTTTTATTTGATGTGTATGAGTGTATTGTCTGCATGTATGTGAATGCACCCGTACCAGGCAAAGCTGTGGAAGTCAGAACAGGGCTTTGGATTCCCCTGGAACTGGAGTTAAGGATGGGTCATAGCTGCTATGTGGGTGCTGGGAATCGATCCTGGGTCCTCTGTAAGAGCAGTCAGTGCTCTTAACTGCTGGGCCATTTCTCCAGCCCCCTAAGTACTATCTTTTTCAATTTGTTTATCTTTATGTGTATGAGTATTATGCCTGCATGTATGTAAGTGCACCCATGTCATGCAGTGCCTGTGGAGGGCCGAAGAGGGCATTGGACCCCATAGAATGGGAGTTACAGTTATTAGACACCATGTGGATGTTGTTATTTGAACCCAGGTCTTCTGCAAGAACAGCCAGTCTCTTAACCACTGAGCCATTTCTCCAGCACCCTAAGTGCTGTCATTTTTATGAATGAACTTTTTTACAAATGAACTTTTCTAGTTCCAGTTTCACATGCACGCACATGTGCCTGTGTGTGTGTGTGTGTGTGTGTGTGTGTGTGTGAGAGAGAGAGAGAGAGAGAGAGAGAGAGAGAGAGAGAGAGGGATACAGGCTGATGTACCCATGTGTGCATGTGTGGAATGTGTGGAGGCTAGAGGTCAACATTCAGTGTGTTCCACTTTTGCTCTTTACTTTTTGAGATAAAGTGTCTCACTGAACCTAGGGCTCACAATTGGTGAGACTGGCTGGCCAGTGAGGCCCAGAGATTCTCTTGTCTCTGCCTTCCAGAACTGGGATCACAGGCACATACTTACCACACCTGGATTTTTACATGGGTACTGAAGATCTGAACTCAGGTTCTTGTGCTTGTGCAGCAACCACTTTACCCAATGAGCCATCTTTTCAACTCTTCTAGGGTCTATTTTTTTATTGTTTGATAGTTCCATACATGTATATAATGTATTTAGATCAAATCCACCCCCTTTTCCATCCCCTCCAATTTCGCTCTATCCCCCCTACTACTATTCCTTCCCAACTTCATGCACTGCTATTGGCAACTGATGGCTGCTAGGGGAGGAAGAATCAGTTATCTTCAAGGATGAGGCCCTGAGAGGCTACCTGCCCTCCAGCAGATTATCCTACACCCATGCATACATAAATATTAAATAAATTCAGTGAATTTAAAAAAGAGCACACCTTCTAATGTTTAAATTAGATAAAACTACTTAAATTCCTATATGAAGTATATAGATTAGAATTATTCAAAGATGTCTGAAAATTCTTTGTAGCTGGACTGCCCACCAGACCAATTAAATCAGGATATAACTGGGCAGGATTCAACTTCAACCTTAGTTAAGGCAGAAAATGACTATTTAGAAGTAAAATAGGCTCCTTAATTGATATATAGCCAATCTAGTATCAAAATTCTTAATATGATGATTGTAAACAGTCAAAATAAATTAACAAAATTTAAAAAGGCATGCTTCCTTATTTTTATAAAATATTATTGAAAATAAATGTTAAATTTCATTTAAACCTACTATTTTTTCCTGAAAAAAGTTTTCTTCAGTCATATGAAGACTTTTCTCAAAAGATTCAAAATCCTTTTGAAAAGATAACTCTTCCCTTAAAACAGAAATTGAACAAGATTAATCAATACATACTAAAAGAAAATTATACAACAAATGCTGCCAATCAGAACACATGATGATTAAAGTGCAAGTTAAGGTAAAGCCATGGTAGAATATCATTAGTGGCCTCTAAGCTTGTGACTTCAAAAAAATCTTTTCTCCCATAAAAGTATTTACAGTATTTGGTAATTACATACGTGAAATTATCTTTTTTGGACATCTGTTCTTTGAAATCTAAAAGGGGAGCCTTTAACAAATATAGCTTTAGTCTACTTGAG